GAATCAGACCATTTAAACCTGACCCTTAGGCATTTCCCACACGTGTTCAGTTTGAGATGCTCTTGGCGGACTTTGAGGCATGGAGAGTTATTATGCATCTTATAATTTCACTCTCATCTATGGGTTTTCAGGTTCCCATTTGAAAATGTTGATTTATAGTTATTTCAGAGTTTAATGGCCCGACTAGTGCTCATATACTCAGTGTTCTTAACTAGAAGATGGTCCATAAACTTTGGGTTCTTGTTCCAGCAGCACCGCTGACATTCTGCTGTAAACACTGAATTTCCTAATTTGTCTGCTTGTTCCATTGAAGGGCATCCCTCTCCCACACAAGCGTGGCAGTGAAGGTGCTTGTGAGTTGGGCCAAATTTTCTCCTTAAAAAGGCTTTGAAAGTGCTCAAACACTAGGAACAAGTGTTTGGTTAAGGTCCCAGAATTCTTGGCACATAAAGCATAAAGAGACAGTTTGGGATTGAAACTTCTTAGGGTAGTTGTTACTACTAGTGACCTTGATCACGGAAAAGAGCCTTCTTGACCCCTGATTTGGGGTAAAACTGCATGCTGATGGTTCAGCCAGTGCAAGTTAATACAGAATGTATTCCTGCCTTGCCACGAAGCTGAATAAGTTGACCTGTTGGGTAAAGTTCCTTAGTGTTGTCCACTTCAGCAATGGAGAATGTCTGCCAAGCGTGGTGATTTCGGATTTAGCAGAGTTATAAACTTTTCTTCATTTTGCAATAATTATCCAACAAGTTTAGCTGCTTCTTAAGAGAGTCTTAATTTCTAACAATAAAATTACATTCATGGAACAGCAGTTCTTAACCTTGACTATACATTTGAATCCCCAGGAAGCTTTAAAATATTTTGATTCCTGAGTATCTAAAGAGGGGGATGGGTTAGCCTGGTGATGGGTATTAAAGAGGGCATGTATTAAATGGAGCACTGGGTGTTATATGCAAACAATGAATCATGGAACACTACATCAAAAACTAATGATGTAATGTATGGTGATTAACATAACATAATATAATAAAATTAGATTTCTTTTTTTTTTAAGATTTTATTTATTTATTTGACAGAGAGAGTTAGCGAGAGCAGGAACACAAGCAGGGGGAGTGGGAGAGGGAGAAGCAGGCTTCCCGCCGAGCAGGGAACCCGATGCGGGGCTCGATCCCAGGACCCTGGGATCATGACCTGAGCCGAAGGCAGACGCTTAACGACTGAGCCACCCAGGTGCCCCTAAAATTAGATTTCTTTAAAAAAAAAAAAAAAAGAGATGCTGACTTAATTGGTCTCAGTGGAGGCCTGGGTTTCAAATGTACATACGCTCCTCAGGTGGTTCTGACATGTAGCCAGGTTTGAGAGGCACTGTCATAGAGGAAGTGCCTTATCTTCTGATTTACCCATGTTCACGTATCCAGTGAATCTAATAGCTGTGTCACATTATTAGATATGCTAAAAATCAGAGTCACCCACTCATTAGCTGTGTGCCCTTGAAAGAATCATCTAAATTTCATAAGCCTTGTTTTTTTCTTCTCTAAAATAAGGACCATTGGGGTGTCTGGGTGGCTCAGTCAGTTGGCATCGGCCTTTGGGTCAAGTCATGATCCTGGTATCCTGGAATCAAGCCCCACTTTGGGCTCCCCACTCAGTGGGGAGTCTGCTTCTCTCTCTGCCTTTCCACCTGCTTGTGCTCTCTTCCTCTCTCTCTCTAATAAAATCTTTAAAAATAAAATAAAATAAGGACCATTATTACATTAGAGAGTAGTTGTGGAGATTTAAGTAAAACATATAAGATTACTAGGATGGTGCCTAGCATACGGTAAGCACTCAACAAAATAGGAGTTCTTACAAAGAACTGTGGACATGGCCCTCTGGTAGACATTTAGGAATAGAACTGGATCTCCTCCGAGTCTGGTGGTTGTACTACTATAGAGGCTTCTGCTCTCTACTGAGGCTGTGCAGTTGGACCCACAGGCGGTGCCTGGGATAAGATCAAGGAAAGCTCTGAAGAGGTCCCTCATTGTTCTTAGCTGTCATAAGATGAAACAGAATGGAGTAGTACCCACTTGCTCCTCAGGCAAGTAGAAACCCAGCCCGGAAACCTGTCAAAAATAGAACTAATAAAATATTAAAGGACATTCCAGGAGAAAGGAATGGGTCTCAAATTTGAAAATTAGATCTTCTCCCTTTTTTAAAAAGGGCAGGTGTTGACACTATGAGTTCATTAAGGCCCATGAAGCAAATTGAAGTAAATGTGTGCTGAAGGACACCCCTCACAGAAATCTAGGAACCAGCAATCTCTTGGATTGTTTTTTTTTAAATTTAATTTTAGGCTATTAATCAGAGATTTTAAAATACTTTCTCTGTTTTTCTTTTTAAAGCCTATTTATTTGAATGTGAACATAGGATGAACATACTTGTGTATGTATATATACATATATGTGCATGTGTGTGTGTAGCATGCATTTATAGCATACATTTAAATATAAATTAGGATTTTACAAATATGTAGTCACTTAGAACAAAAATAGGATTTCTGCTAGGATCAACCATCGAATCTCTAAAATGTGACAATAATATTAAAAGTATGAATTCAAGTGGAATCACTCCCTGGGTTCTCAGTCAAAATGCTGGCTCTTTACTTCTCTTGCAGAAACCACACCAAGGGTACCCATGCTTCCAAATTTGACTTTTTAATGCAATCCACATTTGACCACTGGCTGGCCTGAAAATCGCCCATTAAAATAGATTCTAAAATGTAGTCTTTTCTAAGTATTTGGGCTGCCCGTGGAATGATTTGAATATAATTTTTATGTAATGTTAACTGAGCCCTAGTCTAATTCTAAGCTGTCTTCCATTCTGTTGCCAGAGTGGCCTTTAGAAAACAGAGACTTGATTATGGTACTCCACTATTCAGGAAATCTTTAACAATTTCAAATCAATGTCCTTAGCTTGGCACTCAAGACTCCCATAAATCTGGCCCCAAACTACTCTCTGGTTCTGACCTTTCTTAGATGTCTTGTGATGCCCATCTCTGCATCTTTGTTCACCCTGTCCCTTCGTAGAATACTCTTTCCACTTTATGTCTGCCTTTCAAACCTCACTCATTCTTTACACTGCAGCTCAAGTCTACCTCCTGTATAGGACATCCCTGGCCCCCACCCAAGCTTATTATCATCCTAATTTTACTTCTGTCCTGCTCATTCTACTTCTCTGCTCTGTGCTTCCTAGAGCTTCTGTATTATTGCTATAGCATTAATTACCTTTTTCCCTGTGTTAGCAAGTGTTTGGGAAGTAACAGTGAATAGTGCTTAAGGGAAAGTAATATAGACTTTGAGCCAAATTAGACCTGAATTAAAACCCTCTGAGGCAAGTCGCTTAATTTTTCTGAATTTCAGCTTCTTCTTCTGTAAAGAAAATATAACCAAATGTGCATGGATTGGCAGGGGAGAGTATATAAGCATATGCAGTAAAGGCCCCCAACAAGAGGTAGCCATCATTACCACAATTATTCAGATAATCTCTCCAGCTAGTTCATCAACAGTCCCTTGCAGCATCTTACCCTCCATAGTGTCTTCTGAATTGAATGGAAGCAGCCCAAATTGATGACATCTGCTGCCTGGATCTCACTGAGCTATTAGTTTTTCAGCATCTGTTTTGCATTTCAGGAAGAAATGTCCATTTTTAGGCAACATCAACATTTTCCTGTGGCATTTCAGTATGTCTCAGTCCTGAAATGATTATAACTTGTGCTTGATTGAATCCAAGTCAGCAGAGCCATGGAGAACAGCCCAGCCCATGTGCACATCTACTTTACACAGGCCTATGAGAGAGTGTAGCCCTCTGTAAAAACACCAAGGAACACTATGTCAATTTTTAATAACATTGCCCTTTGCTCAGATGTTCAAATCATGGCAGTAATGGAGCTTGGGAAGCTCTTAATTATCCACAGTACTGCGAGACAAGGAGAGCACAGAGACCCTGATTTTCTCTGTCTAGAGTTCTGGTAAATACACAGGTTGCACTCAGGATGTGTTTATAATGACAATTATTGACTCCCTTTTCTAAACTCCCAATTTCCTTACAAAACTCAAGAAGAAGAAGCCACCATTTTCTCTGGTAGTTTCCAAATTATTTCCAATGGAAAGGAAAATTTTCTAAGTCACTATGCCTCATGAATCCCAAGTCTCTGTTTCAGCACCAAGGACAGAGCATCACTGGACTTAATGTCCCTTCATCTTATTTAATCAAAAATTTAAATGTTTTAAAATTTCTGCTCAGATTTTATGCAGTCACCTAGTATATTGGCTTTCTGAACACTAGTTATGTGTCAGACCATGATATGATATACAAAGCCTCACTAGCCAATTAGAGATCTCAAGGTAGAACTGAGGCAGGAGATGAGTAAGGGAAGCAGTTATAACACTATATGACAAGTGCTGTTACAGAGTTGTGTACAAGTCATGTGGGATCCAGGAGAGGGAATTCTCACTGATAAAGGAGTTGGCATTTGAGCTGGGTACCAAGAATTGAGTGAAGTTTACAACATAGAGAAGAGACTCCATGAAAGAATGAATGAGTGAATACAGTGTATTCAGGGACTTATGGAAATGTGATTTGATGTGGCTGAAAAGTGGGGTGAGTGGAAGGTTAAAGTAAGAGATAAGGAATGGGCTAGGTCAAATCACCGCATACTTACATACCAAGCTAAGGGAGTTAAGCTTTATCCTGGGAAAACGGAGAGCCATTGAAGTGTATTGAGTAGGAACATGATCAGATCACATTTGTGTTTTAGAAAGATAGTTCATACAGTAGGAGAGAGACTATACTGAAAAGAAATAAGAGGGCAGAAGGGCAGGTAAGGGTGACATTTTTCCACATAGCCCTGGAAATGAGGAGTTGCTCCATCATAACCAAGGTTAGACAGGGAGAATTTACTTGGCCCAGCTCCCATTAGCTGTTCACCAATATTTCACATGTGCGTTATGTCTCTCCAGATTCTTCCAAGAAGATAAAGGATGTCTTGGCTGAGTTTAATGAGGGTGGGAGCCTCAAACAATATGACCCACATGAGGTAAGAACATTTCCATTTCAAGCCTTTAAAAAGCCCTATATTCTAGCTTTTCCATAATTTGTTCCACTCTTAAAAATTTAGTTCATTTTAAAGAACTTGTTTCTCAACATATTTTCTCCTAAGTCTCAAATGAGCCATTTATATGTTTGCCAAGTTTAATGATTCTCTCACTGTCCTAGAAGACTACATCATACCTTCCTCTCTCTCTTCAAATCTTTCCCTTTTCCTGTCCTCATTCTCAGTTATCAACCATGCTTTCTACTTCACTGAGAAAATAGAAACAATCACAAGAGATCTTCCACAAGATCCTCACCCACCTCTGTACCTTTTTTCCTGTAACTAGGAATGAACTCTCCATGCTCCTAGTAAGTTCAGCTCCTCCAGGTATGCACTCATTCCCATCCTCTTCTAGTCTATTGACAGGCATTGCTCTCTCTGTATATATATCTCCTTCACATCAGCTTTCCACTATTTGTTAGGTTTTTCTCATCAACATATTAACATACTTATTTATCCTATATTAAAATTGTTCTCCTGACTCTAGTTTTCCAGTTACCTCATTTCTTTCCTGTCCTTATAGCAAAACTGTGCAAACAATTTGTCTATAGTCATTGCCTCTAATTTCTCTTCTTCCCACTTTCTTGAAAGCCCTTCAATCAGAGCATAACCCCCACTTCTCTACTAAGACCACTGGTGAGGATAGCCAAGGATCTCCATGTAGCTAAACTCAACAGGCATTTTACTCAACAGCATTGGACACAGTTGGTCAGATCCTCCTCTACTGTCTTCACTTGGATTTCAGGACATTGCACTCTCCTGATTTTCTTTTCATCCCTCTAACTTGACATTTTCACTAAAAAATCAAATTGCGATCTCAAACTTAACAGGAGCTAAACTGAGCTCTTTGATCTTCCCCTGTAAAACCTGTTTTTCCTGCAGTCTTCCCCATTTCAGTAAATGACAATTCCATTCTTCAAGTTCTTCAGTCTAAAACTATGGAGTCATCATTGAGTTTTCCCTCTCACACCCCACGTCCAATTCATCAGCAAACCCTGCCACCTCTACCTTCAAAATATATCCAGAATCTAGTCACATCTTACCACAGGCACCGCTTCCACCCTTACCTGAGGCACCACCATATTTTGCCCAGGTTATTGTAATAGTCACCTAACTGGGCTCCTTGTTTCTGCTCTTGATCTTTAAAGTCTATTCTTCATGCTCATCCTGAGCAATCTGTTAAAACTTAAGTCAGATCATGTCATTGCTCTGCCCTACAATCCCTCATGGTTCCCCCACCCCCTACTCAGAGTTAAAATCAAGGTCTTTACCATCTGTACCTCCCTCTGCTCTCTAACCTCATCTCTTGCTACTCTCCTCCTCATTCCTTTCCAGCTGTTATTAGCCTTCTTGATGCTGTCAAACAAGCCAAGGTTGCTCTAACCTCAGTACCTTTGCATTTGCTTTTGCCTCTTCCTAGACTGTTTCTCCCACATATATCCACATTGTTATTTCCTCATCTCCTTCAAGCGTTTGCTCAAATCACCTTCTCCGTGAATATCACCTTCTCTATTTAAAATCTTAAGCCCTCTTTCCTGATGCTTCTTATCCCTCTATTCCGCCTTATTGTCCTCTTTAGTATTCCTCACCATCTGTTCTGCTATATATTTGTTCATTTTGGCATCCCCCATGTCCAGAGGAGTAATCTGGCTCATAGCAGGCACTCAAGAAATATTTGTTGAATGAATAAATGAATGCAAGACCTCCACTACTTTCAGATTCAAGTCATCTAATGTTTCTTGAACATCCAGGCACTGTGGAAGATATAAAGGTGAAGAAGCACTGTTCTTGCCCTCCAGAACTTACTTCCTATTGGCAGGCTCTGGAGTTACATGGCCTTAGGTTAGACTTCTACCTTTGATGCCAACCAGCAACGTGGCCTGAAATATTACACCTTTCTGAGCCTCACTTGCCTCATCTTTGACCTGAAGATAACAACAAACAAAGACATGGAAGTTTGCAGATGAGTGGATGGAATGAGATAATTTTTAAAATGTATAGGACACTTTAAAAACGGTACCCACTATTATTTCCCTTCTGGCTCCTTTCCTCAGAATGTTTAAAACTCAGCTTCCTTTTCCCTGCTCCTGGGTCCTTTCATGAGGGCTAACTGCAGAAAAATGATCAGCAGGACAAACTTGGGACAAGACAGGTCACTTATTTATTCGTATTGTCATCCTTTAAACGACCCTTGAGTCAACTCTGCTGCTGGGTACTGGCAGCGAACCAACAAAGCACATGTCCTCGAGGTTTACCTGAGCAGGGGTTTTGGATCAAATGTACCAATCCTCAGGAGAACGAAGCAGGAGGAAGGTTGCCCATACAGAGCCAGACTGAGAATGAACCATTTCAAAGAACATTCCTGTGGAGAAGCCATGCAGAGAAGATGGCAGAGCCAGCAAAGAACTCCCTGCCCCTCCCACCCCCCCCTCCCAGCTCCAAAAACACAGGAACAAAGAAGGGTGGGAGCTGCTAATCAGCCCATCAGTCCTGAGGCTGAAGAGTAGGAGGGGAACAATTTGGTCAGGGCTACTGAGGGTGTGAAGGCCCCAGGAACTTTCAGAAGCAGAGAGCAGCTTGGCTGTTATTAGCCTGCTGCCACCCCCGCCTCCATCAGGCTGGCCCCCACTCTTTGTACGCCTGGCACTGCTGTGTCCCAGGGAAGCTCTGTCACTCTGATTGTATTCTCTCTCACAGTGTGGCTGGCTTCTAGTAGGTGTAATGTCCCCGCACGTGGTTGGGGAAACAAAAAGAATTTAATTTCTCTTGAGCTTGATGGCTTACTGCTGCTAAAATGTCTCAAGAAAGAATGAGTTAGTTGTGGGAAGGGGCAAGTAGCTAGGAAAGCGAGGCCAGGAATACAAGTGCATCTGGCCGTGACAAGCAGGCCCCTGCCCATCAGTGCTGAGTGATTCTCTGGAGAACCAAGTACAGCAGACAACAGCCAGAAAGTGAAGCAGAACACAGTGGAGCAAAAGGGACAAGGTGGCTTGGTGGCCTTATGATCTTAGACTCAGACACATCTAAGCACAGAGCCCACCAGCTCTGCCACTTGCTTTATGACTCTGAGCAAGTTATTCATGTTTTCAGAATTTTTTTCATTCACCAAATGGCAGTAATAGTCACACCTCACACTGTTGTTTTAAGACTTAAATGAGATCATGTATATAAACTGCCCTATAGACAGTAAGCTGTCCATCTGGTTCCCCTCCCTTCTTGACCTGTGCAAAAATTCGCACTTGAAACAGATTGCAGAAACAGCAATTTCCCAGTTAGTTCCTATATGAAAGTGGCAGTTTCTGGGAAAAAACAGGCTTGCGTCATGACAGTGCCTAGCATGTTATTCCAGAGCAAAGACATGGCTCAGCATGCCTCATAGTGTTTGTTTATCTGGTTTGGGCATAGTAAACCACTTTCTACCCACATTCACTAACAGTTCCTCTGAGCCTGGCTTCTGCTCATAAAGAACTCACTCTCTCATAACTCAGATACAACTCTGAGAGTGGTACACAGTCACATTTTTTTGCATACTGTACTTGAGGTTCTTGGAGAGAGTGACAGGGAGCCATATGTTAGCACTGGGACCTGGAACAGACGCGGGAGCAGGAGCACTGGACTGGGAGTCAGAAGATCAGGCTTCTGGTTTTACTCTGCTGCTTGATGGCTGGGCACGTGACTGAACTTTCAGAACCTCAGTGACATGAGGAGGTCTGGGCTCTTCTGGTGTGAATGTCCTTTGTTTCTGGGCTTATTCTATGCCATCCCGTTCCCCTGAATAGGGTCATGAATGGTTGGACATGGGTTCAATCATCGTTTTCTAAGTTCTCATAATAGTTTGTCAGTACTTTTCCTGTACGCACCACTATTGATCCTGTATTGGAATTATTTCAACACCTGAGTCTCTTGAAGGTATAGACCTCTGTGTATGTTCCCCAAGGTGTTTCTTGTATGTAGGAGGTTCAGTACATATATATTGACTGAATAGACCCTACAGTAATTGATGACAGCCAAGGGTACAGCAAGAAACCCCACAGCCATTAAAATACCTATCAGGAAACACTGTCATATGTGATATGGGGATACTTAGATAAAATAGGATATTTCACTACCTTCCCAGATCTCTAGATGTAGTTGAGAAACTAAGGATATATTTATCATAAACAACTCTGTATTAATAAGAGGGCAGCTGATAAAAGTGTCATAGGACATGAACCGAAGTGGAAAAGTACAGAAATTCAGGTACAAGGGATCATACCAGGCTTCCTGGAGGAGGTGACATCTGGGCTGGACCTTAAAGGATAGCTAGAATTTTAACAGGTAGAGAAGGAAGCATTTTATGAGATACACATGGAGGCTTGACCAGGAAAGAACATGGAGATCAGTGTGGACACAGGGTAGAGGTACACATAGGGAATAATAGGAGAAAAGACCAGAATGATCTCAGAGCTTGAAGTAGTTATAAATCTAGGTTGGAGTGGGATTATGGGAGGGCTGTGAATCCCAGAGGACTCAAGGAGTACACAGGATGATCCCCTGGTGTGTGGGAACATTGCAAATTAGACCTTCTATGCACATTGATTTTTAATTATGTTAATCACCATACATTACATCATTAGTTTTTGATGTAGTGTTCCATGATTCATTATTCACATTGATTTTTATCTCATCTTTCTTCTATTTTCTAATTTCTTCTCTTGTGTATGTTTTATAGTATGTAATAGAGGAGCACAGTAGTACATGTATACAATTTATAAGTAAAGATAAATGGGAATGCATGCTCAAAATGTTATAGAGGGGCATATGATTTAAAACTGATCTCACCTCTCCCATGGGCAATTAGTAGGCATGGAATGTTTTTGAGTAGGAAAGCAATCTGTTCAGAATTGTGCTTTGGGAAGATCAATCTGGCAAGGATGGATGAGATGGGAGGACTGACAGATGCGGGTGGAGGCAAATTGAGAAGTATTGCAGTGGTCCAGGTAGGAGGTACAGAACAGAAGTCTGAAACCAGGGAACACCGGGCCTCTATAGCTTCTCGTCTGGGTGGAGGCAGCTGGACAGTGGACACACAGAAAAGACCTGGAGGTGACAGACGTGGCAAAAGAACAGTGAATAAAAGGAAGGGACAACACCTAGTCTCCAATGACTGGGAGTTCAAAATGGAGCCTGGTATTGTCAGTATTAGCAGAAACTGCAGGGTCAGGAAGAAGAGCTGGTTGAGGGAGGGAGTTAATAGAAGCTGAGAACTTGAGATCTTCTCATTCAGCACTCACCATCTGCTGAAGAAGAAACTGAGGTTCACAAAGAGGGGAAAATAGGGTAGAGCTGAGACCAGTCACAAGGTCCCCTGAATCCCACACTGCTCTTGTTTGATGATCTTTCAACTTTGGTTTTTGAAGAGCGTTATATTAGACTTGGTTTAACTAAACTTGCTCTTTTTAAAAATCATTTAGTATAGTCTGTTTTCCAGAAATATTTTCTGCTGATAGTTCTCAATTTGATAAGATTAACAGGACACTTTGGGGCTCAAAACTACTGTTGACCCTTGAGTAACGTGGGGGTTAAGATTGCTCTACCCCAACATAGTCGGAAATCCACATATAACTTTTGACTCCCCAAAAGCTTAATTATTAATAGCCTACTGTTGATTGGAAGCCTTACTTTTTTTTTTTTTAAAGTTGGAAGCCTTACTTTTAACATAAACAGTTGATTAACACATATTTTATATGTTATATGTATTGTATATACTGTACTATATTATACAATAAAGGAAGCCAGAGAAAGGAAAATGTCATTAAGGAAATCATAAGGAAGAGAAAATACATTGACAGTGCTGTACTGTATTGAAAATTTCCACAAGTAAATGGGCTTGTACAGTTCAAATCCATGTTGTTCAAGAGTCAATTGTACATTGTAAACAATGCTTGTCAATTTAAATAGTGTGAAGGAAAAGACAATGCAAAAAGAGCCTTTTAAAATATAACAGTACCATCAGCAAATAGTCAAATCAGAGAATGAAGAAAACCAAAATAGCACAACAACATGGAAAACAAAGTTTAAGAGAGGATGGAATGCTACAGAGAAGCCAAAGATGAGCAAGTCAGAAAAGAGACAACTGAATTGATGACTTTCAAGAGAGTGGGTTCAGAGGTGATGGGCTAGAACCCAGACTAAATGGGACTAAAGAGGTAACAGGCTAGTGTGGTCTGGCCAGGGCACATAGAAGGGGAAGAGAAGAAGGACAGGCTAGTAACTCGAGTATCCAGCCATTTCTTTGGAACAGTGACTTTGAACATGCTTGCAGGCAGAGAAGCAGATGCTGGGAGATGCCTTCAGATGGAGAGAGGGTGGAATCAAGGGTCATAGTGGGTAGGTTCCACTTGGAAAGTAGGAGGAAAAGATTTTGCTCTTGCAGACTGATACAGAGGAGGATGTGTGGGGCAGAACACTTGGGTGATGAGGCTGTGGAGACAGGGTCAGAAAGAGAAACACAGAGACTCAGGGGTAGAAAAGATAGAGACATATTGGTGGTAGTTGTCACAAGAAATACGAATCTAGAGATCCCTTAATCTGCTAGGAGCCTGCATTATCCTCTGTCCAACCAAATCAGGCTTCCTCCACTCTGCAAAGGATAGCCTGGAGCAAGTAGAAACTGCCTTGTGAGCTCCCTCCCAATGGGGTCAAGAGGGCATCGCTTGTTTTTAGGGCCAAAACTTTGTATTCCAGACCTGGATGTATATATTTAAGCCAGCTCATGATTCTGGGAAGGCTCCCAGATTTTCTAGAAGAGACAAGGGGTTAAATGCTATCAACATTTTGGAAGGAGAGCCAAGTAGGCTCCCAAAAAGGGATTTTATTCTCATGGCTGTTATTATTTACAAAAGCCTTCACAGCAGATCTTAGAGTAGAGCTTCCTCAGTGATTTCCAGGAGCATCTGCCGATTTGATGAAGAATCTGATGCTATCAGAGCACGAGCCAGTGATGACTCACTGCAAACTGTCTTTGTTGAGTGTTTGCTGAGTACAGCAGCCCTTTCTGGCATGGTTGCTCCCAGCGCGGGACCAGAAGCCAGGCAATAGTGGGAGAGATACAGCAGGGAGAGGTTCTAGTTTTTGGCATGTTTCTTGATTCTACCTTCTGTCCTTGGCTTCCTGCTCTTCTCCCAGTGCCTAAAACCTTCACAAGGACATGTTTTGAGAGCAGCTGAGCCATCACATACCCTCTCCTGTTCTCTTGAGGTTCATCCAGGGAAGATCAGTTATGAAAGTAATGAAGGATGGAACCTGTCTTTTCCTATTTTCTGAGACCTGAACACTCAGGAGACACCACAGAAGAACCATCTTTCCATCGTATTTTCCACTATGTCCTTCTTCATCTTCACTAAGATTCCAGGGCACAGACCAAGTCCTGCTCATTAGAGAGCAGTCTGGCTTGTGGGCCTCGACTCAGGCAGAGCCCTTCTCTGTGGCCTCCACTCCCAATGCCCGTTCCCCATCACCCCCTTTCTACCTAGTTTTAGACACATCTTATTACAGCAGCCTCTTGCAAGCCCCAACATGCAACCACCAGTGTCATCTCTTTCTTGCATCCTGTCCCCTGCTCCCTGTGCTTGTTATTCTCCATCACTTCCTGGCCTTTTCATTCCTGCACCCACCAAGTCCCACACTTCCTTCTACTTCCCTTTCATTTCTCTTGCCTGCCTGCCCCCTCCCCAGTTTCTCTGTCCTCTTTGTTTCTTCTCAGCCAATTAGCTACGATGTCTTCAAGCTGTTCATGAGGGCGTACCTGGAGGTGGACCTTCCTCAGCCACTGAGCACACACCTCTTCCTGGCCTTCAGCCAGAAGCCCAGGCGGGAGACCCCTGACCACCCAATGGACAGGGCCAGCAATGAGGCCGGTGGCCCAGGTATGTAGACCAGTGTTACCCAAGATAGAAAGGAGATTTTGTAGCTCTGATGCATTTGCCACAGGCACAGCTGCATTTCTAGCGGGTGCCCTGTGCATAGTAACTTCCTTATGGGGTGTGAATGGGGATCAGGGCACCAGGACTCCTTTCCCCATAGGTCCTCACAGGAAGCCGTGTCTGATGGCTCTCTCAGAGGAACAAAGAGGGGCAAAATTCCTGCCCTCAGGATCAGAGGGGACAATGGGGAGGAGAGGAAGCCCAAACAAATGCATGGCAGGGGAAGAGAACCTTCTGCAAAGACTGCAAGAAGCCTTTGGAGGGAGCACCTTCAGGTCATGTACCCAGGCTGGAATGAGCCCAGGAGTGGCAGAGGAAGGGTAAGGTGTGGTCACTGTCTTCTTGAAGCTTGGGCTGTAATGAGGGAGACATAGCCAACCCCAATAAGTCAGCATAAACCCAGCTGACACTCGGAGACACACAACTCAAGTGATCCAGACCCCATAGGAAGGTTCCCTACCTGTCTCTCTAAGAAGCTAGAGAACATGAGCTGGTCCTCAAACCTTCTTACTCCCCAGATACCAACATACAGAATGTGGATAATGCTGCCAAAGCAGATGAGGCCTGTGCCCCTGATACAGGTAAGTCTTTATAATACTAGATTTGCGGGGTGGGGTGCAGTGGAGAATACCCCATCCTTGGGAGGAGGGGTAAATCTAACCAGCAGTTTGTCTCCGTGTCATTGTAAATCCTTTAAGCAGATCTTGTCGGCCTCTGTCTTTGGGGCCTTTACCACTCAAATGTGCTGGGATTCTGAGGCTTGATCAGGTTTTTGCTTCACTTGCCCTGAAACAGGGCGGCTCATTACTTATTTACTTCTGTTGGGGCTGCCTGGCCAGAAAGGGGAGAAGGGGAACTTCTCGGGAGAAAGTATATGATGGGAGTTTGAGTGAGTGTGTGTGTGCCTGTGTGTGTGTGAGAGAGAGAGAGAGGGAGAGAGACGCAGAGGCAGAGACAGGCAGAGCATGTACGTAAAGAAGTGGCTCTAGGGCTGAGATACAGATGACTCTGCCTGTGGATGGTTGAAGGTGGGTAGGGCAAGAAGGTAAGAGTGAGCTCAGATGGACAAAACTGTATAGAGCTGCACTACAAGAAATGGTAAAGGGAATCTTCTTAGTAGAACTGTACCATATGGAAACCTGGGTTTACATACAAGAATGAAGAGTGCTGAAACTGATAACCACATGGGGAAATACAAAGAATATTTTTCTTATTAGTTAAATCTCTTTGAAAGGCAATTAACTATCAAAGCAAAAAAATGACATTGTGTTATGCAGTTTCTAACATACGTAGAAGTGAAATGTAGAACACTAGCACAAAGGCACAGCTGGGAGAATTGGAGGTATTTACATGCCCTGGTTTTAATAAGTCAGGAGGAGGAGCAAGGTGAAGCAGTTAACATTATTTTCATCTATTTGCCAGGGACCTGGAAGGATGAGAGAATATTTTCAAGTGGATACTAGATGTAGTTCTAATCTTTTTTCTAGTCATGGCAAAAAGGGCAACTGGAAGGATTATAGAGTTTTCAGGGTATAACTGAAGGACTGGTGAGAGAAAAAATTTACTGTGGATGAAAAGCAGAGCACAGTTGGGAAAGGAAAGTTGCCTCTGGACCAAAAGCTCAGCAAATTTCAGGCTTCTCATAGAGCTCCACGAAGCAAGCATTACGAGCATCGGTGCCTTCCTGAGGCCTTCAGGGGCAGCATCAAGGCAAGACTCTACAAAGTATGGCTCACCCACCTGCCCTTCCCAGCATCCACCCACCCATCCTATGTCCATGGCCGCTTGGGTAAATGGATTTAAGTTATAAATCAGTCTTAAATCATATGTGGAATAGCAGAGGCATGTTATGACCTAAAGCATTCTCATAATAGGAAGAGAAGGGTGAAATTGGAAACCTTGAGATTCTAAACTCTGAGTAAGAAAATCAACCATGACAAGCATTTGGACCCAGATTCTTTACCCAGAGACTTTCTTAGTCCAAGTATCTGGAACTTCAAGAGGAACTTGAGAGAAATTGTACTTCATTCCCTGAGGTTTCAAATTGTCTGGGTAGGACTTGTTTTAGTGGCTGAAATTTCTGAGTAACCAAGGAAGGACTTATTGGGGATGCTGTCATTACATGATATTTGAGAAAAGGTAATCGATGTTGATAATGGAACTTGGCTGGTGTATTTGACCACCAGGTTTATTTGCAACATTTGTATCATTCTGGGTCTGAGAGCAACTTCTAGAGACTTCCTCCTGGAGAAGTGATTTGTGATGTACCATATTCCTTGTGTCTGGAGGATATCAGTTTCCTGTGGTCAGATAATAAAAGGGTAATGATCTGACTGCTGGCCCAGGGAGGTATATAGCATTTTTTCATCTTTTGTGACTTGAAATTTAAAGTAGAAAATCCTTTTCCTGTTAGGCCGTCTTCCATGGATGTCTTAATTAGATGCCCCAGTTCACCAGAAACAGGAATGTAGGGACAGACGGATACCACAGAGAGGGGCCTCTGCCAATAAGGAAGAGCCAAGTTCTGGTATCACCTTAGATCAGGCCATCTGTTAAAAATCCCAACCTTTTCCTGTCGCCCAAGCAGAAGCCAGAGGAAACTAGATTCTCATTTGCTATGGCTTATTTAGGCCTATGAGAGCAATCTCCAAGCTAGGATCTAGAACAACCCAGTTCAAGTTATTCATTTCCAGAACCCGGTAGGTGAACGGTTGGGTCCATAGGCACAACAGAGAGAGGCTTTCACTAAGACCAGACATAGACTCAGAGCTTTGAGCAATCTGTCACTGTCAGGATGTCAGCTAGGAAAGCCTGAATGCACCCTTCCCTCAATGCCCAGGTCTAAATGGGTTAAACGATGTGAACTTTATTCTCCTGGTTTTTATTTCAGTCTTCAGGCTCTTGAGATATTTCAGCAACTTGGAATATTGAACTCTCAAGGACAGTCCTTCAGTTGTTTCTTAGTTTTTCCCAATTATAAAAGTAACACAGTTACACTGCCAAAAATTTGAAGAGTACAAAAAAAAAAGAAGGAAACAACAAAATCACCCATAATTTACCAATGAAGTTACACACATGCATGCATACACGTATCCTTGTAGGTTTTTTCTATACATTTTTTTACAGAATTGGAATCAGACTCTACATATTTGGGAACCAGCTTTGTTTTTCACTTAATATTATACTCACAAACATTTTTCATGTCATTCAAGACTTTTATAGTAAAGATCAATTTTAATGCAAGTCCTCTTTCCACAGATGAAAAATCTGAGGTTGAATATAGTAAGCCCACTCGTGCAAGATCACACACCATTTAGCACAAACCCAGAGCTAGAAACCCAGTCCTCTGCCTCTAGCTTGATTTTCTTTCCACTATGCAACACTGCCCAACTAGAGGCAACAAGTAATATAGAGACTAAGAGAGAAGGTGGAACTAGTCAGGCCTGCCTAAGAACCCTCAAGCAAAAAGGTTTATGACATGGCACCTAGACAGAACTTCTGTAATCTGGAAGACGGTGTTAGTCTTTTATTACTCATGGTCCCTGAGGGATGTACTTAGATGGCCATAGGTTGGGAGTGTTTTACATAAGGCAGCTTGAGGAAGAAAAGCACTAGTAGGACTATGTGCCCCTCAGTCCTTCTGTACCCCAGCATTTCCATGACTGGGGTGAACAGTACATCTTAGAACAGTGGTTCAAGATCCAGTCATAGTTCTGGTAATCCAAGGATCTTTGGAAAAGGCTGTAATAATGTTTTAAAACAGCTTTGGTGAGGTATAATTGGCATAAAATGAGTTGCACATGTTTAAAGTATACAATTAATAATTTTTTCCATATGTATACACCTATAAACCAGGACCACATTGATATAATGAAGATGTCTATCATCTCCAAAGTTGCCTTATAATTGCTTTCTCCCACCCTCCCTACCACCACCTGCATCTCTGTACTATCACTGATCTGCTTGCTGTTACTATAGATTAGACTGAATTTTCTATCTTTATACATAGAATCATACAGTATGTACATTTTTTGGTGTGGCTTCTTTTACTCAGCATAATAGTTTTAAAATTTATCCATGTTGTTGTGTGTATCAATAATTAACATATTTTTAATGCTGATTAGTATTCCAATATATAGGCGGATATTCCAAATTTGTTTATCCATTCACCTCTTGATGGACTTTTGGGTTGTTTCCAGTTTGAGGCTATTACATATAAAACATGAATATTCTTAGTACACGTCTTTATGTGGACAGCTTTCATTCCTTTTAGGTAAAGATCAAGGAATAGAAAGTTTAGGATCATTATGTTCTTGTGATGATATCACCTCTCCATTATGAAATGACTCCCTTTATTCCTGGTAATACTCTTCGCTTTGAAATCTACTTTATTATAATTATATTTATAATTAAGGTAGCCATTCTAGTTAACTAGAGTTATAGTGATATCTTCCTCCATTCCTTTAATGTATTTGTGTCTTTATATTTAAAATGACTTTTTTATAGGAAACATGTAGTTGGTTGGGTCTTTTTTTATCTAAGCTGACAATCTCTGCCTTTTAGTTAGAATTTTAGAACATTTAAATTTACTGTGATACTTAATATCATTAGGTTTAAAAGTACCATCTTGCTATTTGGTTTTTTTCCCCCATCTGTCCTTTCTTTCCCTTTTGCTCTTTTTCTGTCTTCTTTTAATTAGTTGAATTATTATTTCATTTATCTCCTTTTTAATATTATTAGCTATAACTCTTTGTTACATTATTTTAGTGACTTTTAACTATCACAGTCTATGTTCAAGTAATATTATTCCACTTTGCATATACTATATGAAATTTACTGCAATAGGGGCGCCTGGGTGGCCCAGTCGGTTAAGTGTCTGCCTTCGGCTCAGGTCATGATCCCAGGATCCTGGGATCAAGCCCCACTTCGGGCTCTCTGCTCGGTGGGGAGCCTGCTTCTCCCTCTCCCTCTGTCTGCTGCTCCCCCTGCTTGTGCTGTCTCTCTCTCTGTGTCAAATAAATAAATAAAATCTTCAAAAAAGAAAAAAGAAATTTACCTCAGTATACCTCCATTTCTTCCACCTAGGCCTTTGTGCTATTGTTACACATTTTACTTCTATGTATGTTAAATTATAAACTGTACAACCACGTTGTTATTATTTTTGCTTCAGTAGTTAATTAGCTTTTATTAAAGAGATTGAACTAATAAAAATACTTTTTATCTTTACCCATGTGGTTACCTGTTTTAGTACTCTTTATTCTTGTGTATAAATCTAGGTTTCCATATGGTATAATTCTACTAAAAAGATGTTCTATATCATTTCTTGTATTGCCGCTCTGTACAGTTTTGTATATCTGAAAAATTCTTTATTTTGCCTTTTTTTCCTAAGGATATTTCACTGTGAGTAAAGAATTCTAGGTTGACAGGGGCATCTGGGTGGCTCAGTCAGTTATGCATCTGCCTTCAGCTCAGGTCATGATCCCGGGATCCTGGGATTGAGCCCCAAGTTGGGCTCCCTGCTCAGAGGGGAGTCTGCTTCTCCCTCTCTCTCTGCCCCTCCCCTCCATTCATGCTCTCTCTCTTTCTCTCTGTGTCTCAAATAAATAAATAAAATCTTAAAAAAAAAAGAATTCTAGGTTGACAGATTTTTTTTTCTTTTAGTATTTTAAAGGTGTTGTTCCATTAGCTTTCAGCTTGCTTTCTTTCCAGTGAGAAAACTACAGTCATTCTCATCTTTGTTTGTCTCTCTATAAGGTGTCTCTTTTCCTCTGGCTTCTTTTATGATTTTTTTCCTTTATCACTGATTTAATCAACTTGATTATAATGTTCCTTGGTGTAGTTTAATTCATGTTTCTTGTGTTTGGGGTTCGTTGAGCATCTTGGACCTGAGATTATATAGCTTTTATCAAATATCAACAAATTTGGAAGAATTTCAGCCATTATTTCTTCAATTTTTTTCTACTTCTTTCTCTCTTCTTCAGGTATTCCAATTACATGTCTATTTCAAGTTGTCCCACAGCTCACTGATATGATACTTTTTTTTTTTTTTTGGTCTTTTTGGATAGTTTCTATTGCCATGCTTCAAATTCACTAATATTTTCTTCTGCAATGTGTAATCCACTGCTAATCCTATTCAGTGCATTTTTTTCATTTCCCACACATCATATCTAGACAATTGTTGGGGGCATTTTTTACATATCTTTTATGTCTCTTCTTAACATATGCAATCTTTCCTCTAGCTTCTTGGACAGATGGAATACACTTGTAATAATTATTGTAAAGTTTTTATCTATTGTATCACTGTGTCATTTCTGGCTCCATGTCAATTGCTTTTTCTCATTATTTTGCGTATTTTCTTCTTGCATACCTGTCATTTCTTTGTTAAATGCCAGACATTGAAAATTTTACATCATTGGGTGTTGGATATTTTTGTATTCTTATAAAAATTCTTGAGGTTTCGGGCACCTGGGTGGCTCAGTTGGTTAAGCGACTGCCTTCGGCTCAGGTCATGATCCTGGAGTCCCTGGATCGAGTCCCGCATCGGACTCCCTGCTCGGCAGGGAGCCTGCTTCTGCCTCTGACCCTCCCCCTCTCATGTGCTCTCTCTGTCTCAAATAAATAAATAAAATCTTTAAAAAAAAAATTCTTGAGGTTTGTTTTGGGGCACATTTAGGTTACTTGGAAATACTTAACCTCTTTTGGGTCAAGCTTTTGAAGCTTTGTTAGGCAGAACCAGAGAGGTATTTACTAATTTCACCCAACTACCAAAGCAAAACTCTTCCAAGTACTCTACCTGATGCTTCTTGAGATATGGGGGTTTTCTACCTTGGTTGGTGAGAATAGACACTATTCCTGCATTCCAGGGATTGTTCCTTCCAATACTGATTCTTTCCCTAGCCTCAAGTAGTCTCCTTACACATCTGTGCTAATTGTTACTTGGCTGAATAATTGAGGGAAACGCTCCACTGATTACTCACAGGAGACCCTCTATAGATCTCTGGAGTTCTCCCTGTGCAGCTTCCTCCTCTTTGGTGCACTGCTCTGTGAACTCTAGCCACATGGGACTCCCCAGACTCCAAACTCCGCCTCCTCCACTCAGAGAGACTTCCAGGATCTTCCTGGGTTCCCCTTCCCTGTGCTGCAGCCTAGAAACTCTTTCTGGACAGTAAAATGTGACAATTACAGTGATCATCTCATTGGTTTTTTATCTCTTGGGATCACCATTTGGTGCTACAACATTCAGTGTCCTATGAACCATTGTTTCATGTTTTTTGTCCAGTTTTTAGTTGTTTCAATAGAAGGGTAAATCTGGTACTGTTATTCCAATTTAGTCAAAATAGAAGTCATTGTAATAGCGTTTTAATGGATGGATAATCTGAGGATGTAACAGTAACTTGAGGTATAATGGGCTATCCAGTACAAAGGATTTCTCACATTTGTCTTCTATGTTATTATGTTTTTTCCTAACTTTTCCTCCAGTGATGATTTTAATACTTCTGTTGCATATGTAATTTTATTGCAATTTCCCCCATCTCATTATCTTTTTTTTTTAATCTCATCCTATTATATTTTTGTCTCAACTTGCTCACCTGTGAGGCTTTCTGCCTAGAGGTTATATCTTCTTGCAACCTCCTAGGGTCTTGTCCAGTAGGAAATTGTTTCCAAAGGTCTGATTTTTGGAGACTTCAGGATGGAGCTTCTTTCCTTGTCTTGCAGCTTTGTTTCATAAGCTCCATCTTGGTCTCTTTACAGGGCCCCTTGTAGCATACATAGAATGTCGGTGAGACAGTGGTCTCACCCCCTGTCCATCTGGATCATGGTTAAGTGCCTTTTCAGACCACGAAACTCGTAGGACTGGTAGGCTTTCATGTGGCACAGCTCTATGGCGTGACACGAACTGTTTTCCTTTGCATGGCACTTTGGCTCTCTGAACAAAAAGTGTACTGGTAGCATTGCCTTCCCCAGCAGGCATTACTGTCAGGGCTATCTCTCTCTGCCCATGCCTTCAGCACTCCATTACTTAGTGGTACAACACCTACCTGGATTTTCCACTCCCAGTCTTCCTCTTACTTTTCCCCATGTTTTCTATGAGTTGCACCCTCTTCCTGGATATTAAGAGATCATTTCTGATGGGCATGGATCTGGAGAGACTGGGAGAAGAGAGATGGCCCTTAAAGTACCTCAAGAAAGTATAATTCACACAGTAAAGTATAGGTGCCCAGTTTTCTCATTAGTAATAACCTCATGTTTCTGAACGAGAGGACAAAGAGTATAAGAGAGACAGCATTTTCTTACCTAAGAGAAGGAAAACTCCAGAGGGAAAACTTACTCTATTTCTGTGGTATGATAAACCACTTTCTGCATTTTCTTAATCCAATTGATTAGGCTTGCAGCTAGTCAAAGTTCTTCCTAGTTTCTGGAAATTTGTTGATTGTTGATCCCAGTTTTCTTTTTTAAATATTCATCTTCTTATTTATCTTTAAATGTATTTGAGAAGAAAATTGTGAAAAGGTATATCGGTAAATGACCAATAGTCTGGATTTTGGAATCCTAGCCAAAATTCTACAAACTGAGTGTGTTCCCAGACAGTTAGGCTAAATGACATGTACCTGTTGGCTATTGATATTACTAAAAATCACTGTCATCTTTTCTGAAAATTCACAGGGTATAGGTGAATTTCTTACAAGGTTATAGAGTCTTGAAAGGATCAGAATGAGGTCCATTCAGAGAGTATGAACTCCACAAACTAGATTTCTAGGGCCACTGATTTGATCATATTTAAGTAACCAACACTTTTGAGGACACTTGTATAAAATTCTGGCCTCTATCAAGAAAATGATGGAGCAACAAAAGGGGTTTAATATTTACCAAACATTAAGTGTCTTTGGATGGTTTCCTTTTGCCTATCACAGAATCAAAGATCACCGAGAAGCAAGTGCCAGCTAAAGAACAGGTTGCTGCAGCCCCCCTGGGAAACGCTGTTGCTCCAACTCCAGGCTCAGAATCCCCCATAGTGTACCTGAAGGATGTCGTGTGTTACCTGTCCCTGCTGGAGATGGGGAGACCTCAGGATAAGCTGGAATGTAAGTGCTCGCCCTGTCAAGGGGTTTCAATTTTTTCCTAGAAGATCTAGTACCTTGTCCTTCATTCTAAGCATGCTGGAGATTGATCTGGGATTGTGGGTATTGGTGACCCTTGCTTGGAGAAAGTGCTTCTGTCCTGTCACCAGCAGTGGTCTGGACATTTCTTGGCAATCCACATTGGCAGACAGTACTAGTTATATGGAGAGTAGGAAGTGCATCTGAGACCTTGCTATTGAGAATCAGGATTTGGAAAGGGGAGAAGTCTCTACAGGGGGCCAGGACTCCCTTCTTTTGCTGGCAGGACTTCCTAAAAGCCTCCAACCAGAAAGTTCCTACCTTCCCTTATTTTTCAAGGGGGGATATTCAACAGCTATCTTCCCCCTCTTATTCTGTACCCAAGCAGCTCTTTATGAGGAATTCCTTTTTCTTGATCAACCTCTATCTTTTAAAGGTTACTTCTATTTCTTCACCCACCCCCACCCCAAGTTTTTTGGCCTCTAGAGAAAAGGGACTAGTTAAGTGAGGGAGTTGAGCTTTGTTCCATAATGTGACTAACATAGGTTTCAAAAACATATCTTCAGAGAGAGAGAGAGTAATGGCTGGTGGCAGAAAGGAAAGCCCACAGTGGCTGAAAGAGCCTGCAGTCTTGTAGAAGACTCACTGCAGGGATGGTCTCCCCCACCTCCGTGAGCCTAGAGGCAGACTTTTTAAAAGAGGAGATAATAGGACCTTGTTAAAAAAGATATATTGTTTTGGCCCCTCTTGGGAACTTAGTAGGTATTAAGGGAAAAAACATACACATCATAGCAAAATAAAAATTCCAGTTAATAAGAAGGCTAGTCAATAAAGCTTAAACACTAACAAGGAAATATCTGGCAAAGGTTAACCCTTGCCAAAACCAAAATGAAACAGTTCGCTCATTAGCTGAGCTTAAAATCTCCCCCATAGTTTTGAGGTGTTAACAATTGCAAGTCTGAAGTGCTAATTTGGTGGCAAATATAGCAGATTTCTGTTTCTTTTGGCTAATGTTAAAAGTGAAATGTCAAACTATTTCCAACATTCAGCTGGATTTTGAGTTTCAGGCATTGTATTTGTTCATAATTACCAGAGAGGACGTGGCAGATTTTTTCATATTTGTGGCTCTCAGACTGAGTCTTGTAATGGCAATAAAAGAAACTGCATTAAAAAAAATACTTTTTGTTACGGAAAATTTCCAACACAGATAAAAGTAGAAAGCACAATGAACTTCCGTATACCCATCAGCCACCTTCAGCAATTACCTGCTTATAATCAAATCACATTTTATTAATACGTCCCATGCATTCCCTCTGCCCCAGAATATTTTGAAAAAATTCCAGACATCCTATAATTTCACCTGTAAATATTTCAGTATGTACCTCTAAAATACGACTTTTTCTTAAATATAACCCCAGCACCATTATCACATTGAAAAATGATTCCCTACTATCGCCTGTAGGCAGTAGGAGGCAGAGCTAAAGTAAGAACAAAAGCATTCATTTAGGGCCTCAGAATAGCAATTTGGGGAACACAGATTTGGGCAGCAACCCAAATAGTGTCCCTCCCAGGGAACAAAAGTCAAGGGTATTTACAGACAAAAGGGAATGCTTGTATATGTTGTTTACAGAGAATTTTGATTGGTGTTGATGGCAGAAAACTAATCTTGACTGAATATAATTGGTGACTGAGGTTACCACTAAGCAAAATCTCTTCATGTAGCAAGTTGCAGGTGTTCGGGTTGAGTCTTTGGAATATTTGCAGTCTGGCCCAGTTCAGAGTTCACTGTTCCACCCAGTGAGGACGTGCATGAGGCCTACCTCTTTAATGGCCTCCCAGCTCCATTTTAAAACCCCTTGACATAAGTGACTTCATTTAATTTCACCTTTTATCTATCAGATATTCAGTCAGTGTTCACATTTTCCCAATTATCTTACATATTTTTAATTGTTTATTTGAATCAGAATCCAAATGTACTCCATACATTGCCACTGCTTCTTATGTTTCTTCTATTTTAATCTTCTGCTTATTTTTTTCCGTGTAATTTTTTATTGTAGAAACTTGGTTATGTTTGTTCTCTAGAGTTTTTAATCTTTTTTTTTTTTAATTAAACTGGATGAATTCAAATCCTTCCCTGATTTTAGTGATTGAAAGCAACTTAAGCTTTTCTTTTTTAATAACCAATCATGTATCTTTTTGGAAATAATAGCCTGAAATCCTATCATTCATACATTAACAATAACTCTCATTATTGAACACCTTTTATCTGCTAATCACTTTAAATGTATATCTCATTTTAACCTCACAATAATCCTAGAAGGTCAGTGTGATTATTCTCATTATATGTGTCAGCACAGAAAGTATAAATGACTTGCCCAAGCCCATGCTGCTAATAAACTGAATGCTTTCTTTATAGTTCTACTGTCCTTGCATAGCAGGACCAAGAGAGCTCCCATGTTGAGAGTCGCCTGGGCCCAGGGTCTGGGAACAGCAGTAGTGGGAAGGCCTGTCCTTTCTGTCATTCAGCCATCTGTTTGGCAAGTCAGCCTCATATGCTGAGTGCCTCTGACCAAGACATTTTGAAGACTCACGGAGAATTGGAAGGCTGTTGACCCTACTTTGACAAAACCTCGACTCCCACCACAATCACACCACTGAACAAACACAAGGTGCAGGAATATCACAACATATAGAAAGATGTGACAACACACAAGCAACCTAGCAGGAGTGTCGTGAACTGTGGGTACATGCTGAGAGGTCCAGAGTGGGTATGTGTGGGAAGGGACAGTCTGGGGAGGCTCCATAGAGAAAGCAGGCCTGATGAAGGGTTTCAAGAACGAGAGGAAAATGAAGATGTGTTCAGTTCTACTCCCCACTCTGCTTACTTCTGAGATCACAAACAGGATCTCTACCTTTAAAATGAATGAGATGTAAGTTCCCAAGTCCCAAAAATGAAAATTTAGTCCTTTGCCCAAATTTCTCTCCCAGATCTTCCTTATCCTGCATCACCTCCCTACAACTAGAACATGATAGAGGATGTTTCTGAATAGCATGTTGACATTTTATTTTATTTTTTTTATTATGTTATGTTAATCACCATACATTACATCTTTAGTTTTTGATGTAGTGTTCCATGATTCATTGTTTGCGTATAACACCCAGTGCTCCATTCAGTACGTGCCCTCTTTAATACCCATCACCAGGCTAACCCATCCCTCTCCCCCCCTCCCCTCTAGAACCCTCAGTTTGTTTCTCAGAGTCCATAGTCTCTCATGGTTCGTCTCCCCCTCTGATGTCCCCCCCTTCATTTTTCCCTTCCTGCTATCTTCTTCTTCTTCTTTTTTTTTTAATATAACGTATTATTTGTTTCAGGGGTACAGATCTGTGATTCATCAGTCTTACACAATTCACAGCACTCACCATAGCACATACCCTCCCCAATGTCTATCACCCAGCCACCCCATCCCTCCCACCCCCCACCACTCCAGCAACCCTCAGTTTATTTCCTGAGATTAAGAATTCCTCATAGGGCGCCTGGGTGGCTCAGTCAGTTAGGCAACTGCCTTCAGCTCAGGTCATGATCCTGGAGTCCCGGGATTGAGTCCCGCATCAGGCTTTCTGCTCGGCGGGGAGTCTGCTTCTCCCTCTGACCCTCCCCCCTCTCATGTGCTCTCTCTCATTCTCTCTCTCTCAAATAAATAAATAAAATCTTTAAAAAAAAAAAAAAACAGAAAACCTATTTAAAAAAAAAAAAGAATTCCTCATATCAGTGAGGTCATATGATACATGTCTTTCTCTGATTGACTTATTTTGCTCAGCATAATACCCTCCAGTTCCATCCACATCATTGCAAATGGCAAGATTTCATTCCTTTTGATGGTTGCATAATATTCCATTGTATATATACACCACATCTTCTTTATCCATTCATCTGTCGATGGACATCTTGGCTCTTCCCACAGTTTGGCTATTGTGGACATTGCTGCTATAAATATCGGAGTGCACTTACCCCTTCGGATCCCTACATTTGTGTCTTTGGGGTAAATACCCGGTAGTGCAATTGCTGGGTCGTATGGTAACTCTATTTTCAACTTTTTGAGGAACCTCCATACTCTTTTCCAGAGTAGCTGCACTAGCTTGCATTCCCACCAACAGTGTAGGAGGGTTCCCCTTTCTCTGCATCCTGCCAACATCTGTCATTTCCTGACTTGTTAATTTTAGCCATTCTGACTGGTGTGAGGTGGTATCTCATTGAGGTTTTGATTTGAATTTCCCTGATGCTGAGCGATGTTGAGCACTTTTTCATGTGTCTGTTGGCCATTTGGATGTCTTCTTTGGAAAAATGTCTGTTCGTGTCTTCTGCCCATTTCTTGATTGGATCATTTGTTCTTTGGGTGTTGAGTTTAATAAGTTCTTTATAGATTTTGGATACTAGCCCTTTATCTGATATGTCATTTGCAAATATCTTCTCACATTCTGTCGGTTATCTTTTGGTTTTGTTGACTGTTTCTTTTGCTGTGCAAAAGCTTTTTATCTTGATGAAGTCCCAATAGTTCATTTTTGCCCTTGATTCCCTTGCCTTTGGCAATGTTTCTAGGAAGAAGTTGCTGCGGCTGAGGTCAAAGAGGTTGCTGCCTGTGTTCTCCTTTAGGATTTTGATGGACTCCTGTCTCACATTGAGATCTTTCAGCCATTTTGAGTCTATTTTTGTGTGTGGTGTGAGGAAATGGTCCAGTTTCATTCTTCTGCATGTGGCTGTCCAGTTTTCCCAACACCATTTGTTGAAGAGACTGTCTTTTTTCCATTGGACATTCTTTCCTGCTTTGTCGAAGATGAGTTGACCATAGAGTTGAGGGTCCATTTCTGGGCTCTCTATTCTGTTCCATTGATCTATGTGTCTGTTTTTGTGCCAGTACCATACTGTCTTGATGATGACAGCTTTGTAATAGAGCTTGAAGTCTGGAATTGTGATGCCACCAGCTTTGCTTTTCTTTGTCAACATTCCTCTGGCTATTCAGGGTCTTTTCTGGTTCCATACAAATTTTAGGATTATTTGCTCCATTTCTTTGAAAAAAGTTGGTGGTATTTTTTTTTCCTGTTTTTTTTTAAATTTTTTATTGTTATGTTAATCACCATACATTACATCATTAGTTTTTGATGTAGTTCCATGATTCATTGTTTGTGTATAACACCCAGTGCTCCATGCAAAACGTGCCCTCTTTAATACCCATCACCAGGCTAACCCATCCTCCCACCCCTCTCCCCTCTAGAACCCTCAGTTTGTTTTTCAGAGTCCACTGTCTCTCATGGTTTGTCTCCCCCTCCAATTTCCCCCCTTCATTCTTCCCCTCCTGCTATCTTCTTCTTTTTTTTTTTTTTAAGATATATTGCATTATCAGTTTCAGAGGTACAGATCTGTGATTCAACAGTCTTGCACAATTCACAGCGCTCACCATAACACATACCCTCCCCAATGTCTATCACCCAGCCACCCTATCCCTCCCACCCCCCACCGCTCCAGCAGCCCTCAGTTTGTTGATAGGGATTGCATTGAATGTGTAGATTGCTCTAGGTAGCATTGACATCTTCACAATATTTGTTCTTCCAATCCATGAGCATGGAACGTTTTTCCATTTCTCTGTGTCTTCCTCAATTTCTTTCATGAGTATTTTATAGTTTTCTGAGTACAAATTCTTTGTCTCTTTGGTCAGATATATTCCTAGGTATCTTATGGTTTTGGGTGCAATTGTAAATGGAATCGACTCCTTAATTTCTCTTTCTTCTGTCTTGTTGTTGGTGTATAGGAATGCCATGGATTTCTGTGCATTGATTTTATATCCTGCCACTCTACTGAATTCCTGTATGAGTTCTAGCAGTTTTGGGGTGGAGTCTTTTGGGTTTTCCACATAAAGTATCATATCTGCAAAGAGTGAGAGTTTGACTTCTTCTTTGCCAATTTGGATGCCTTTTATTTCTTTTTGTTGTCTGACTGCTGTGGCTAGGACTTCTAATACTATGTTGAAAAGCAGTGGTGATAGTGGACATCCCTGCCGTGTTCCTGACCTTAGGGGGAAAGCTCTCAGTTTTTCCCCATTGAGAATGATACTTGCTGTGGGTTTTTCATAGATGGCTTTTATGATATTGAGGTATGTGCCCTCTATCCCTATATTCTGAAGAGTTTTGATCAAGAAAGGATGCTGTACTTTGTCAAACGCTTTTCTGCATCTGTTGAGAGGATCATATGGTTCTTGTTCTTTCTTTTATTAATGTATTGTATCACATTGATTGATTTGTGGATGTTGAACCAACCTTGCAGCCCAGGAATAAATCCCACTTGGTCGTGGTGAATAATCCTTTTAATGTACTGTTGGATCCTATTGGCTAGTATTTTGGTGAGAATTTTTACATCCATGTTCATCAAGGATAGCATGTTGACATTTTAGAAAAACAAATACAATAGCTTCTATAATGGTAACTACTTCATAGCTTTGTTGAGGATTCCATAAGTAGGAATGATAAAGTACATAGGACAGTGCATCATACTTATTAAATGCCACATATAAATGTTCATTAATGAAAGAAAGTAACAATAAATAATATTTGTTGAGTGCTTTCTCCATTCCAAGCACCATATGACTAAGGAATAGGGCACATAAATAGAAGTCTGTATCATATAAGCTCAATCTTTCTGAAATCTTTAATGAGGCCAAAAACATTTAGATGTCACAATATCGATTTTTACAGTGATCATAGCTGGCATTAAATCCTGAGGTTAATGAAATGATGTTGAACTTCTTTGCTTGCTGTGGGGATGTTAAGAGAAAGAGCACATCAATTTAAACTTCCCTGGAAATCTTTTTTAAAGAGAACAAGGTTGTCAAAATCTTTTCCTAAAACCTTTCTAAGTATTAAAAAGGCCAGCAAAAATATTTACCATGTATGTAGTCTTACTTGGCATGTTTCTTTTATGAACATTTTAAAGGTATTAATATATTTATTTTATTTATATCTTGTAGTACATTGTATGCTTATGTATATCTCTTATATAGAACAATTAAAATTATTACAGAGAAAAAACTGTCCTATACTTTACATATTAATCCTCATTAAAAAAAAAAACCTAGGAGAAAGAAACCGCTGTAATCTCCATCTTGCAGATAAACATGGTCCAATGAAGTTAAATGACTTGTTTGATGCCTTGGAGGTGGTAGGCCAAGGCCAAGATGTGAGTCTGCCTAAATCCACTAGAGCATGTTTCAAGGTGTGCATGCTCTACCAGGAACCGTACCATGACCTGGAACTCATCAGCCACAGAGTTATTGCTTAGACAGGTCCAGAAGCCAGATGGCTGGGTTCTCCTCCCTTTTTCCACCCTCTGTGTGAGAAGTCAGACTCTGCACCTTGGAGGGTGGGTGAGCTGGCTGCAAGGGCCTTCGCCCCAGTGACAGAACTGAGCTAAAGACCGGCAGCATCAAAGCCACAGCCCATGCCTGGTGCCCGGAGGACACCTCAAGCCACACCTCTGTGTCTCTTGCAGTCATGTTTCGTCTCTATGATTCGGATGAGAACGGTCTCCTGGATCAAGCGGTAAGCTCTCGTTCCAAATGTCCCTCCTGACACTAAGAAAATCTGAGGGATAGGGGAGCAGGTGGAGGAAGAGTCTAAAAACTCCCAGTTCCATCTTTTTAGAAATAGCAGTGTCTCAATATGGGCTGCAGAAATCATGGTAGAACCCCCCACTGCTACTTCCAATAGGGCCAGCCTGGGAGAGAGTGAACTCCACCTGACCTTTTCATTCCAGAAGCCCAGGATCACACCATTTCAGAAGGGGAGATGCTTTAGTATCTTATCTAGTTTAACTTCCCAGTCTTCCTCTCATACCCAGGGCACTAGCTCAACGAGTCTGGTTCTTTCTGCTCTAAGCACATGGTCCCATCCCATTGTACCTGGGAAAGCCTGAGACACCCCCCCTCCCGCCCCCTCTCCCTCAGGAATAGGCAGGGATAGGACAGGGATCATGGAGTAAAAGGGGGTACGGAAAAGGAAGAAGGCAGGGAGGGGAGAAGGCAAACAGAATCAGACAGGCCCCGCACTCATCACTGGCAATGGCAGAGATGGGGCTCCTTAACAGAAAGGCTGTGAGGTTGAGGGGCATGGGACGGAGTTACACCAGACCCATGGGGGAAAGAAGGAAACAAGTCCACTAGACCAACTGAATCATCCCAACGTCCTCTAAACCCCAGGGCTCCTTTCAGGGATCCCTATTGCCTCATGACAATGCTGTGGGTTGCATCATGCCAGAGAACAACCAGAGAATCACAGACTCTCAAGCATTTGATCAACACATGTTTATTGAGTGTCTGCCACACGTCAAGCACTACTTCGAGCCCTGGGGCTATGTCAGTGAAGCCGACAGACACAAATCCATGCCCTCATGAAGCTCTCATTGCTAGTGCAAGCACATGCCCTAGAAAGCATAGCAAGATACGTGTCAGAGAGGGGTGCGTGCTGGAAGAAAAATAAAGGAAGGAAAGGAAGTGCTCAGGGGAGCTGCAGGTGTAGATAGAGGAGCTAAGGAAGGTCTCCCTCAGGGGACATGTGAACAGGGACTGGAAGGAAGTGAGGGAGTGAGTCATGGGGATATCCAGAGGAGGCACCTTCCAGGCAGAGGCAACCACAAGTGCAAGGGTCCTGAGGGGTGCTTGAAATGTTAGTAGATTAATGAGGGGGAATGATGGAACAGAATAGTGAGGAGGTCAAAGTAAGAAGTAATAGGAGATGATATCAGAGAAATAATGACCAGGGGTGGTTGTGGGGAGAGTTCACAGAACATAGCAGGACGTAGAGGTGATTGGAAGAGTTTGTCTTTTACTCTTGAGGAATGGTGACAGGACTTCAGTTTAACCAGGTCATTCTAGCTGCTATGTTGAGACTAGACCATAGGGACTCAGGCAGGGATACCAGTTAGGAGGCTATTGGAATAAACAAGAGAAGAAATCATGGTAACGTGTACCAGGGTAGAAGCATTGCAGATGGTAAGAAGTGGTTAAATTTTAGATCTGTTTAGAAGACAACACCAATAGACAGAAGTGAGTCCCAATAGAAATATCTGATTCAATTTTCCACAGAGGATCTCTGGCAAATGGATGTCCAGGCTCTATGTGAACACTCGCAGGAATGGAGAGTTTACTCTCTACCTTAAGACAGCCATTCCACCACTGGGGAGACTGATAGAGAGGGCTTCCTTCCCACACAAAAGGCACCTCTAGTCTGCCAGAGAAATTCTCAGCACAAAACAGGATTCTGTTTTCCCCTCTCCCTCCCCCAACCCAGCAGTGAGACCATAATAGGCCAGCCTTCCCTACATCCCTCATCTTACTTCTGCCTTGTGTAGGTGACCAGGACAGCTGACCAGTGGAAAACCGATCCTATACAATAGGCCTTTAAGATTTAGAAGGTACTGTCACATCTATCCCAAGACCTTCTCTAAGCTCAAATTCCCCCAGTTTCTACACTGTTTCTCACAAGGCAGGCTTAAATAACCACTCTGACCAAGCTCTAGTTTGTCAATGCCATTTTTAAAATATGGTGCAGAACTGAACCCATTCCTCCATGACTCTTTAAGTATCCACATGTGGCCTGACCAGGGTAGACATTGAGGGAACAGGTCTTCCTAAAATCTTCCTCTGCTTCCTGAAAATGCCCACCCATTCACACAGACCAAGACTGAGGCTGATTCTCAGCTTACGAATTACATTGTTTTAATCAATGAATCTGGGACTCAGCTTGATCCACCAAGCTCTTTTTTGTTGGAAATTCTGCTGAGCCCTGTCCCCACTGTTTAGCCCACTACCTTACCTCCTATTTATAGTCTCATCTGTGGTTTTGCAATGAATTTTTTAAAATTTAAATGAAATATAATTTTTTAAATCCCTCCTGGGTTTTAGCTTGCTTATTTTGATCCAGCATTCTACCTGGTAGAGGTAACACTTTTGAACGTTGCTTCAGTTCACCAACGTGTCTCCCCAGATCAATCTTACTATGAACATCTTCGATGATGCCCAAGAGATACAAATAAATGCTTCCTCAGTTCAGTGTGTTTCCGAGCAACTCTTGGTGCACTGATGCATTTGCATCCAACAATTCTGTGAGGTTTTAAATAAAGCCTGACCTTGGTACTAAACAAAAGCCTCACTCACCAGGCAAATATAGCTCTTATAAATTTCCTGTTCACAGAGTCCTGGGCTCAGATGCCCAAATGAATCTAAGTTATAGAGCTAGGACATGAGCTAGGACCAATGCAGTGGCCCTACATCCACCTGTAACTGACCCCTAAGGGATATAGATGGATCCCAAGCTGCTAAAGCTGTGGGAATGAGGAGGAATAAAAGAGGGAGGAGAGAGCTGCTTTGGTTTATAAGCATTTAGGAAGCAAGAATCACAAAGAAGAAAACGGGTTCCTTCTATGCTGAGTCAGTGCAGAATTGAGGAAGGAAGGTGAGTTCAGGGGGGTCCAAGAAGAGGTCAGTGTTCAGTGAGCTTTCTGCATACCCCTGGCTTATCCATGTTCTGTGCTTCTTGTGAGCATCTACTCTCCACAGAGCTTTGTAGTCAGGGCTGAAATAAAGAGCAGAGACAAATGATGAGCTCCTTATGAAATACCAGTATGTTACACTGCTGCTTCTCATGCTCTGCCCTGCCCATCTTCCCAACAGGGTTTGGTTTTGAGTCTTGCTCTCGAAAACACATCTTCAGTGGTTCTCCCTCATCATCCTTTGATGTTTTCTAGGAGATGGACCGTATTGTCAACCAGATGCTTCACATTGCCCAGTATCTGGAGTGGGATCCCACGGAGCTGAGGCCTGTAAGTTTCCAGAAACAAGGGGAGACGTCCAAGTGAGCTTCCAAGATGAAAGCAGGACACTCAGGATACAAATGTTTACCATGCATGCTCTCCCAGACTCACCCTCTTATAGGCAGCTCCTCTGGGGTCCTATACCTTGACTTCCGCCTTCTCTGATAGGAAACATTAAAGACATAATTCAAATAATAATAATACCTAATAATGCTCCCTAACCTTTCCACCAGAGCTAAATTTTTATAACAGGGGTTCAAGGAATTTAGAGATAGAATTTTAAAGATTTTCTCAGTCACCGGATAATAATAATTACATTTGGGGGTTCCTATGAGTCAGGTATTAGATGAGACATTTTATATACTTTTTCTCTTATCCTCACTACATTGCTACATACATAGCAATATTATTTTCATTTTATAGGTAAGCAAAGCCGAACCCAGAGAGTGGGGGTGGCTTGCCCAAATCCACATAGTCAGGGCAGGGCAGGGCAGGGCATGGACTGGCCTCCTCACCCCTGTTTGCTCCCTCGCTGCTCTGCCCGCTGTAAATCAGAGGACAAAGGGGTAAAACACAAAACAGATAACACAGCAAAAGAGAAAGAAGGGGACAGAGGGAGGCAGGGAAGTGCAGGATGAAAGTGGACAATTGTTGCTCTCTGGGTTCTGCAGATACTGAAGGAGATGTTGCAGGGGATGGACTATGACCGGGACGGCTTTGTGTCTCTAGAGGAATGGGTCCATGGAGGGATGACCACCATCCCACTGCTGGTCCTGCTGGGCATGGACGACTCTGTAAGTCAGCAAGCCTGAGCTCAGAGAGCTCTTGTCTTTCAGAAGCATCAGGTTCCATGTGGAAATTAACATCTATATATGGCCTTGGCTTCTGTCCCAACTTCCCCAATGGGCACATCATAGGCTCTAGGCCAGCCTCAAAGTCCTCTCTTTCCACCTGTTAGTGCCTGGCATATATTCATTCATTTGACTGAGGACATTTACTAAATTAAATAAAGATACTGTTCTGAGCACAGCAAGGGGACACAAATACAATATTCCCCTACCAGAAGCTTAGACTCAACCAGTGGGGGAGGGGGAAGTCAAGGAAGAATCCCATCTTTTCAACAGATTAGGTAAAAATACACTAAGAGTGTTGACGAAAGAAGGAAGGGAAGGAAAGATAACGATCTGTCGCAAGTTGGAGGTTATTCAGATACTATCTTATTTAACCATCAAAACAACCAGATAAGATACATATTTTTCCCCAATTTATATAGATGGAAAACTGAAATTCTGGCCCTGAAGAGCCAGAATTTATTTGCACTTGACTCCAAAGATCCCATGCTTTCTAAACCTCCTACACTGAGGAGTAAGAAAGTGGGAAGAAGCCTTGGAGGTCATTTGGCCTGGTTCGAAGTACGTGTGGGAATCTGATATCTTGTTCTTGAGTGTAAAGGTCAGGTCTTTAGAGGATGTTGGATCTGGTTCTCAAGGATGGGTATGATCTGGCTATTGGAAGATGATAGAAGAGAAAGTTTATGGCTGGGAGAAAAGCTTGGTCAAAGTCCTAAATGAAAGAAAGTTCAGGGTGTATTAGAGAAACCTCCCAGTTTGATCAGAGTAGGGGATACATACAGAGGCTTAATATGAAATCCATGGTAATATATGTCTGCATCTGACCTAGTCTGCTTATCTTGCAAGGGAAATAACTTCCATACACAAGGCAGGAAAGATAAGAACTAGATGGTGGTAAATGCTTAATGTCACAATTTAGTGACATTAAGCATTTACCAGGACAGTTACACAGGTTGTGGACAACACCTCTCTGAGATAACTGAAATGCCATAGAGAGGAAGTTCAGCTGGGTTAGCCCTAGCTGGCTGCCATCACCCATAATGTCTCCATCTGACCGTTCTGCAATTCAGAAGCTGAGCCTCCATTCCCAACACTCAAGAACAAAGAATCCTGCAATCATCTCAGCGTGTCCAGTTCTTCCCAAGTGCTAAGTAGAAATCAAGGAACCAGGAGCTACACAACTCCTGCCTTCTTATTCCTTAAGACCCAGAAAGTCAGAGCTGGAAAAGATCTTGGTGATCCACGCGCTGGTCTCTTCATTTTACAAACGGAGGGCCAGAGAAGTAAAGGAACTTACTTGCCCCAAGACACACCCAGTTAGTACCAGAGGCCAACCTCCATATTCCAGAAGAGCACACACCTCATTCAGTGATTCCTTACCAAGAACCTACCATGTGTAAGAACCCACATGAGCTAGGACATGGCGTGCTCAGATAAGGAAGGCATAGTTTCTGCTATCAGTACTTGAATCAAAGTGGAAGTTCCAGCATTCCTGATTTTTTCTCTGAAACATGGGAATGGAGATGAGACATTTTAACCACAAGGAAGCAATTTCTATTTTCAATTCTGTTTTGGACTTGCTAAGTCCAAGGCGTGATGCAACTCTTTGCATGGAGGGGATCCACTATCATATGGCTGGAGGAGGGAGACAGAGACTATTTCTTCAACATTACCCCCAGTGTCTTCCCCAAATGCCAAACCAACCTTGTAGAAGAGCATAATTTACATCAGTAAAGTGGCAAACAAAAGCAAATGTGAATGTAGTTTTTAAGTTTTACGCATTTATTTTTAAATATGCACTAAATTGTAAGTTTTTACATTTAATATTCAAGATTCTAAAGAAAGCATCCCTTAGTGTCTTAAAAATCACATTGCCCCTTTAGCTTTTTCAAAACCCACATGTGGCCACTAAAAAGTCTGGAGATCTCTGAATGGCACAGATGCATAGGAGAAACAGTCTGCCTCCCTGGTACCTGGCTGGCACATGGGAGGTGACGCCCACACCCTGCAGACTCCGATGTGTGGAAATGAAAGGGCCACATGATGGCGCTATAACCCAAGCAGAAATATTACTTTCGCCTTCATCTGGGTCCTTTTGCTTCTAACCCCCGTATCTGTGAAAATAGTATCTGAGAAAAGGAAAGTCAGCTGATTTAGTTAATAAAGGGATTTTAGGGTAAAATGACAGCCCTTCAGGCTAGGCGAAGAAGCAGTGCTGAAGAGTGCTGTAACTTCCCTTCTGTCCATAAAGGAAAACCCTAGAATATATAGGTAGGGGAGAGGGATGAAAGGAGCATGGATTCAGGCCAGCAAGACCCCCAATTATAAAATCAGTTGCTTGTTATTTTATAGTCTTGGACTGTTTATATAACTTTTCCAGGGCCCTCTTTCTTCATTTCTGGTATAGGTATAAATCTACCTCCTTACACGTAAGAAAACACTCTACTTATTTTGTGTTCCCTAGTATCTAACACGGAGAGAAACTTAATAAAAGTTTTAATTCACAATGTGTTAAGCACTGGATTAGGAGCTTGACTTACATTATTTCATTTAATTCTTACAGAAATCCTCTGGATGTTTATCAAATGAGTGGATGAATCAATCTTTTCATGAACCATTTAATCAATTAGTAAATCTGTTTACTAAAGTGGAAACCATTAGATAAGAAGACTATTATTCTGTAAAACTCAGACCTTGAAAGAAGCAGGGTTTTGAGGTGGTGAGAAAGAAAATGCTTAGCCCTCCCCCTGGAGGAGACCAGCATTTGGAAAAGCAGATGGGCCTCTCTAGAGACCATAAGGAGCACAATCTGGGCACAAGAATGGATCTGGCTGCTGTGACCGGCCCAAACCAGAGGTGCCCAGAAGTAGGAACTGGGTGTGAGTCCAGCACACTGACTCTGTGTACCTGTCAGTCCTCCCCACCTTATTACAGTAGTTCTTACTGCACTTAAGATGGGCCCAAAGATGTTAATCTTTTGATGGAGCCCAAGAGAAAAGTTCAGGGACAACATACACAGAGACATGTTCCTGAAGCCATAGCCTCCAGGGAGGCTGTGCTCCCAAGCTAGGAGCTGGAAGATGTAATCACACCTAGCAATGTGATTTTTAAGACACTGAGGGATGCTTTCTTTAGAATCTTGAATATTAAATGTAAAAACTTACAATTTAGTGCATATTTAAAAATAAGTGCATAAAACTTCCGATTAATACAAACTACGTTCACATTTGCTTTTGTTTGCCACTTTGCCGATGTAAATTACAGTCTACTATGAGGCTGGTTTGGCATTTGGGGGAGACATTGGGGGTAATGTTGAAGAAATAGTCTCTGTCTCCCTCCTCCAGCCATATGAGAGTAGACCCCCTCTCATAGGTGGTTGTGTGAGGCTTGGCTCAACTCGTGGATAAGGATGAATTGGCTTTTGGGTCAAGTCAGGAGGAAGTGGTTTAAACCTCTCTCTATCTTCGTCTCTTTACTATTTTATCAGTGTACAGAAAGTTGAGAGAAGTATATTGTTTTTACTAAATGACTTTTTCCTGATTACAAAACCGGTACATGCTCACTGTAGAAAATTTGGAAAACACCAAAGAGAGGAGAAATTAGAGATTAAAATACATCTGTGGTACTGCTAACAGTAGCTAACCTCTGTTAACAGTTTAGTGACACTTTTTCCCATCCAAGATCTTCTGTGAAACTGAGATTATAATATATCATCAAATTTGCATGCTACCGTTTTCACTTAGCATTGTATCATGAGCACATTCCCATGCCATTAGATAATCTTCTTAGTATCTTTTTGATGGTCAGTTAACAATAAATGATATGGATGTACCACAACTAAACTTTGGATAATATTGCGACTTCAGGATATTTCCAATTTTTCATTATTTTAAACAGTGCTGGATTAAACATCTGGCAGAGCACAAAAATGTTCATCTGACATCCAAAAATTATTTCTTTGTGGGGGAGGGGGTCTCCTGGGGGAGCTCAGTCGGTTAAGCAGCCAGCTCTTGATTTCGGCTCAGGTCATGATCTCAGGGTCCTGGGATCAAGCCCCATATCCGGCTCTGTGCTCAAGAGTCTGCTTCTCCCTCTCCCCTCTGCCCCCGACCCCTGCTCATGCTCTCTCTCCCAAAGAAATAAATCAAAAAAAATTATTTCTTGTGCTCACTTCAGCAGCACATATACTAAAAAAATTATTTCTTTAGGATAGACCCAAGAAGGAGAATTTTTAAGTCAAAAGTTATAAACATTTAAAGGATGATGATGGACAGATGGATGGATAGATAGAAGAGAGATAAGGAGTTTCTGACTTACCCTTCTGCCAGCCACATAGGAGAGGTCTTATTTTATCCCCATACATACATTCCCACTCAGATATCCCTGATTTTTCATATTTGCTAATTCTAGAAGCAAAGGCCTTTGTTTTAATTTGCGCTTCTCTTAAAAGAACCCCTAAAACAGTTAAATAAATGACTATCTTGTCTTCCATATATGAGAAGAGTCTTTTTAGAAAAAAGAGAAACCTCCAGGAGATGCCCCCTGGGGTCTGTTAGCGCAGGGCTGCCCGCTCAGCATCTCCTTCCCTCATATCCCCGCAGGGCCCCAAGGGGGACGGGAGGCATGCCTGGACCATGAAGCACTTCAAGAAGCCCGCCTACTGCAACTTCTGCCACGTCATGCTGATGGGCGTTCGGAAGCAGGGACTGTGCTGTGTTTGTGAGTCAACTTCCTTCAAACCCCTTGCCCCAGGAATGGCCCCACTCTGCACATACTGGAGCCATTCTTAGGGACAGTCCAGGGCTTGCTGCTTCCTAGCTTGAGGAACCCACAGCAGGGACTAAAGCAGGAGCTCTATGCCCTGTTTTTGTGTTGTCCACGTCAAACGGACAAACGCTGTCCTGTTGTTGGGATCCTACCAAGGGCCACTGAGCCCTAGGAAAAAAAAAAAAGGTTAACATTCACACAAAATTTTAAAACATCTCACACCAATTTTAGTTGGGTTTTGCTGGCGAATGTTTATTTTGCTGAAGCTGGGGGGTTGTTACTAATAAACTATAAAACTGTATTGTGTAAACGCAATGGAAATTACAACTCTCCCTTTGTTTCTCTTTATAATCCATTTAGTAAAGTCAGGCAGGAGAGGAGGAAAGAAACGTCAGTGAGAAAGGAGGGAAGGAGACCAGAAAGGAGAACCGGAGAAGGATGGAGGGGTGATGTAGGAAGGAGAGTGGAGAAGGTGGGGGGGGCGCAGAGAGGAGGCGAGACTACAAGCGCAAAGGCTTTATAGGGCCCGGGGCCTGTGGCGCACTCACCAACCACCTTACCACAGAGGCAGCAAACGCTCAGCCTGGAGCCACCAGAGCCTGGTGAGCTGCCACGCAGGAGAGCCCCTGGGTGCGGATCAGGCCTCCGAACTGTTTCATCCGAGCATGCACACGTGAGCTAGGCAGCAAGTAACATGGCCACAGAAGTCACCTTAGCAGAGCTGGGCCCTGGTCTACCAAGAGCCAGCACCAGTGGGCGAGTGAAGGGGCCACCTGTCCTTCCAGCACCCAGTCACATCCAGCTCTCACACTTTTCTTTTTTTTTTTTTTTTTAAGATTTTATTTATTTATTTGAGAGAGGGAGACTGAGAGAGAGAGAGCACATGAGAGGGGGGAGGGTCAGAGGGAGAAGCAGACTCCCCGCTGAGCAGGGAGCCCGATGCGGGACTCGATCCCGGGACTCCAGGATCATGACCTGAGCCAAAGGCAGTCGCTGAACCAACTGAGCCACCCAGGCGCCCTCTCACACTTTTCTTAAAGAAGAACCCAGTCTCATTCCTAGTGGGTTCCAGGCCTGTGGGCCTCTGCTGTTTGCGTAGTAGTAAGAAGTGGTAACAACCACAATAATAATTTATGGGATAGCTATTCTGACACAGACACATAGTGCTTTGTACAAATTATCTCATCTAATGCTGTAAAAGCCTTTTAAAGAGAAAGAGAGGTCATTTTATCCCAATTTTATACAAAACCCTGAATTTCAAGAGACGTGAAGAAAGTTACCCACAATTATGTGTGTGGTGACCAAGGGCAGAGCCAGAATTCAGGCCCAGGCCTACCTAACTCCGAAGTGAGGAACACCCCTGGTCTTTCCGTTTGCTCCCCAGAATGCATGGCATTGGCATACTGCGCAGGCGGGCCCCTCCCGTTCCCCTTAAGCAGAACGTGCCTTTCTGGGGGATGTTTTCTTCCTGCATTCACACTACACAGTGGAAGGCAGGTGTGGTGGGGTAGAGGGTACAGAAGCATGTCTGGGAGAGAACTGTGGACTCTTCTCACTGGGCAATTTCCATTTGGAAAGCCAGCTCCGTGTGTCGCCTCCCTCTGACCAGCCACCCAGAGGGAGGCACGATTCGTGGGGGGGGGGGGGGGGGGGGGGGGTATGGCTGGACCTTCCTAAGTAGCCACTCACAAGCAATTTCCTTTTTTTTTTTTCCAGACTGCAAGTACACTGTCCATGAACGCTGTGTATCTAAAAACATTCCTGGATGTGTCAAAACGTACTCAAAAACCAAAAAGGGCGGTGAGGTTAGTGATCCCTATTGCCTTGTTCTACTGCATGCTGCATCCCAGGCAACATGTCCATCACCACAGACTCCTGGGCAGGAAGCTTTTTCAAGTCCCTTCCTTGCCACAGGGACCACCCTTAAATCATCCTGTTCATCCATCAATCCATCAGCATCTCCCCGGTGCCCACCGTGTGCCAAGCACTGTGCTAGGGGGTATCCAGGTTATAAGATGGTCCCCAGCTTGTTCCAGAACTGTGTGGTCTTGTGGGAGAGAGACAGACATGTAAGCAAAGTATAAACAACTGAGATGTATGATCACAGTAGGGCTGTGTGGGACAGACAGTGGAGACACCAAGGAGGAGGCCTGGGAAGGTTCCCCAGAGGAAGTGGCATCTGAGTTGTGTCTTGAACCCAGATCGGGAGGACTTCACAAGGCATCAAGGAAGACAAGGCACCCCAGGCAGAAGAAGCCTTGAGTGCAAGGCATGGAGACAAGGCATAGTCTAGGATCTGTACTTAGTTTGGTGTGACTGGGACAGAGGATGCTTCAATGGAAGTGACAGGAGATGTGCCCCAGAAGTGGTAGGTCCAGCCTGGGGAAGTTCTCGAGAGGCCAGCTGAGGAGTCCAAAAGGCGCCTCCCGCACAGCAAAGGGGCCTCTGAAGAGCTGTAAGCACAGGAAGAGATGCGAAGAGATGACTGGGTTTGCAAATCAGGTTAACTGCTCTGACCGTGGGGCAGGAGAGAGATGGGGGGCGGGCGAGGGGGACCAGAGCTCCTCCGACAGTTCAGGTGAGAGGCAGTGCCACACTGAGGGCCTGCTTGGGGTGGGGTCTGCACTCCCTGCGCTCAGTACGTGCTGACTATGCAGCAGTCCAGCCGTGGTGGTGTCTGTGCTCAGGGTCCCCCGACCATGCCGGCTGTTGCGTATTTTGATTGTCCCCTGGCTAAGGTAGGGGAGATGAAGAGAGTTTGAGACATAACTTGGAGGTAGCACCACCAGGACTTGGTGATGGGGACGTAGGGGATGGGAGTGAGGAAGAGGTCAGGAATGGATCCCTGGTTTTGAACTTGGCCATTGGGTGGTGCCATTCACAGAGTCTGGAAATAGACTCTCCTTAAAATGAGCAGGGGAAGGGCACTCTGAGTCCATTCATCCTGAGTCAGGGGATGATTAGCGGCAGGAAGTGGCATCTAGCCTTGCACAGAAGGACTCGAGAGAGAGAAGGGAGCCTCCAGGACACGCATGCTTGCCTCATGAGACGCCACATGGTCTCTTGTCCACTCCTGCACCACGCCCATACACACCCTTTTTCATGTCCATACCTTTCACCAGGACACACCACGTACCTCCTGGGCTCAGGTCCTAAGCCTACACTCTGGCCACTTGCACACATGCCACAGAGGGAGGCCGCTGATGGGCCAACAGGGCACATTCTCAATCTCCTTAGTCTCCAGGGGCAACCCAGGTCCTTCACCATCTCTTCTGATCCCAGAAGAGGATGGAGAAGGCAATGTGGTGGTGAGACACAGCCGTGGACTTGGAGTCAGAAGACCTGGCCGTGAGTCCCTACTAGGCCACTTACCAGCCTTGGAACCTAGGGCCGGTCACTTAACCTCTCTGATGCATAATGTTTTTACTCTGCAAAATGAAGATAACCAGAATCTCAGAGCAAATTCAGTGCGACCATACAGGTGACAAATTGATCAGCAAACAGGATATTTTATACCTGGGGGAATGTGCAGCAGAAGGTGAGAAGCTACAAAATAAACATGACTCATCTTCTAGAGCAACAATTTTACCAAAAACCTTTAGGGAGGAGGACATAGTAACTTAATTGAGAAGTAATTTTAAAGCTTTTATTTAATACACACAAGGATGGTATGGTGCAAATATTCCATGTGTTTTTAATATTGTGTTTGTAGTTGGCCCTTCAGGCTGTGCTATATCTGTAGAGGCCATATCCTCTCTGTTCTGCTGTTGGCAATGGCCCTGGCAGAAAATTTTGAGAAGCTCTGTAGAAATCCTAGACGGAGCTACCTGAGGGCTTAGACTCCCGGAAGTTGGTGTCATGGGGGCACTTTGGCTTCACTTACATACATACACGTACACGGACTTTCCCACCTGCTTCCTAAGTTCCCGAGTTGCACTGCTGGCATTTCCTGGTCAGGGAGCAGGTACAACCAGCTCTTGAGGAGACAGATATGCAAGCCGCTGACTGCTGAACCACACTAACATCTTTGTACTCTTTCCTTTAACTTCCTTCTAGAGTGTTTCTCAACCTTAGCTGCACATTATAATCATGCAGAGTGCTTTAAAATAAACTAATGACGAGTCCTGTCTCCAGAGACTCCGATTTATCTGGTCTGGAGTGAGGGCTGGGCATTAGGACTTCTAGAAACTCCCAGGTGGTTCTTATGGGCTGAGAGCCACTGGCCTATAGAAGACGGGAGGGCGAAGGGAGTTATCCCTCAGCAGGCACCTCCAAAGGGCCAGAACTGTGCCAGAGAGCCTCTTCCATGTGCGCTATCTTTAAATCATCCCAGAAAACCCAGAGGTGGGGCTTATCATGCCAATTTCTACAGATGAGGGACCTGAGACTCAGAGAGGTCCAGGAACTGGCCCCAGGTCACCTGCCTGCGAAGTGGAAGGTCAGTGACTCCAACCAGCTCTGTCGGCGGCCCAAGCCCTCTAGTGCTTGCCTGCATCGCGCTGCCTTCCAGAAGAGGGCGCACACAAGCACACCACTCTGCAAAGGAGTTCGGCAAGACAGATGGACTGCCAGACAAGAGGCTGCTCAGAGGCTTGCCTGCCACGGCGAATGAGCCATTCAAAGTGCAGGCCAAGTGGTTTTTCATCGACTTTGATTAGCACGGCGATGGTCAGGCAGGGAGGCACGGAGTCCGTGCAGTTCAGCCAAGCAGCCCCATGCCCACTAAGTAAAACCCACTGAGCGGAGTGCAACCCCTCTGCCCTCCCCAGCCCCGCGCTCCTCTCAGGCCCCGGGCCCCGGGATGTGGCTCTGCAGCCTTCCCTGCTACCCTTCCCTTCCCTCCTGCAGGTGATGCAGCACGCGTGGGTGGAAGGGAACTCTTCCGTCAAGTGTGACCGGTGCCACAAAAGTATCAAGTGCTACCAGAGCGTCACCGCGCGGCACTGCGTCTGGTGCCGGATGACGGTGGGTCGGCGTGCAGGGTGGCCCTGCTTCTTTCCGGTGTGTTCTTGCTCAAGTTGCGGCCAGGGAGCAGCGGACGTCCTGCCAGAGGGCATGAGCAGAGCTAGGGCGGCAAGACTGGGAGGCCCAGAGCCCCCGTTCCAGGCTCTAAGTCCAACAGTGCCGCCAGCGCCTCTCCAGGCTGCGTGGGTAGAGGGCGACCCCAGAACCAGGGGAGCGAGAGCTGCTGAAGGAGAAGCGGGCCGGTCCACTCGCTGCCTGTGTGGCCAGGCAGCCGTGAGCAGCCAGCCACCCGGACATTAACTCACCCGGTTGTCATCTGGAGCCGGGGGCGCAGAGTAGGCATACAATGAGACACGAGAGCCCCTGCTCCTCAAGGCATCGCGGAAGGCACGCCCCTTAGAGCAGCCTCGCTCCACGTCCCCTCCGGACACCTGACGCTGCCCATGCTGCCTGCCAAAGCCAGCTCTGTGTCCTTGTCTTGTCCCCCTGGCCAGGTATTAGCCTCAAAAAGGATGTGTCTGTCTCCACATGAGACTGTAGATCTCTTAAAATGCACTGGTTGAGTCTTGGGTTTCACTTCCAGCCTCTTGCAAGTCTGTTCAACAAGATCTCCTTCCTTACAGAGTCTCAGAGCCTAGGGAGCAAATGTCCAAGGAGGTTTCTGGAATCCACATGGCAGTGCCACGCTGAAGGGTCCCAGGCCTGCCCATGACCATTTCACTCCAGCAGTCGTGGATGGCACTCGGTCTCCTTTCTCTGCCTGCAGCCAACGTGGCACCCCTGACCACACCACACGACACACACACACATATGCACAAACACACACACACACTCATGCAGCTCTACCACCAAAGCCAGCAGTGCATAAGGATTTGGGGGAGCATTGCATAGCTGTCTCCCCAGCAAACCTCTGAACCCTCACACCTGGCATTGCCTTGGTCAGTTTCACTCACTCTCTTCTTCATTCTTCCCTCCAGTTTCACCGAAAATGTGAATTATCAACATTGTGTGATGGTGGGGAACTCAGAGACCATATTTTGCTGCCCACTTCAATATGCCCTGTGACCCGGGTAAGTGTTCTTGCCCCGCCAGGCTCTGGGCTCTCTGGGTTCATGGCTCAGATGCAGGCAGCGTTCAGTCAGTCACATCCCTCCGAGGGTTTCCGCACAACTCCTAATGAATTTCTATATACATATGTGTTTTCACTACACGTTTGAAAGGGCAGTGCGGCACTCATCAGATTGTGACAGAAAACTCCTCTGACTGGGGCTCACTGCTGGCCTTCTAGAATGCTCCACATGGCCCATCAAGGAAAGCACATACATTATAAGCACCTTGCCAGCAGAGCACAGCTGCAGGAATTTCTGTCACCACCTGCATGTGGCTAGGCCTCCCAGGCCTCCCTTGTCCCTGTGAGCCTGTCTCTGTTGTCTAAACATGAACTTCTCCCTCCCTTGAGGACTCCCACTTAGGTGTCCCAACCCTGTTTGGAGATGTAAACAGGAAAATTAAAGTCCGTTTATCTCCATCTGAAGCTTTCAGTCTCTTGTGTTGGAGATTCCTCTTTTTGACCAAATACCGACCAACTTAACCGTCCCCTTCTGTCTTCAAGATGTTGCCAGGTCCCGTTGATCCCTCCTATCTCACGCTTGACTTGACCAGCTACTCTGTTTCATGAAAAAACTGAAGGAAAAACACCACTTTGGAAAACCAAAGTGGCAGTACCTACTGGGTTCGAAATACACTAACTCTGTGACCCAACATGTCCTCCTTTGTATCTGCCTGAGAAATACGAGCACTTATTTCACCAAAAGATCTGCACAAGAATATTCATATCGGTTTTGTTCATAACAGTCAAAAACTAGAAACCAGCTAAATAAACGATCACTGACAGCAGGGGTCTAAGGCATATCCGTGGAATGGAATCCTGCATTGCAGTGGGAGAGAGCCATGCTTAGCTGCGAAAGCATGGACAGTCTCAAGGATACAATGCTGAACAAAAGAGGCTATACTCAAAAGAAAAAAATAAAAGACTGCCTATGATTTCATTTATGAAATTCAAATGCCAGGAGTTATGTTTGAAGAGACCGTACTTAAAAGGGTATACATGTATATAGAAATTCATCAAGCCGGAGATTGAGATTTGAGCATTTTACCATATTATGCAAAATAAACCTCAATAAAAAATAATAAACACTGAAGAAAACAAACAAAACTAAGAAAAATGACTTAGTATCACATCATTTAGATAGTGCTGAACAGAGAAGCCAGATCTAAGACCATGCTTCCCAGAGCTCAGGCTTCTAAATCAACAAACTAGATTTCTGCCAATTTCAGTGTTTCTTCTCCCTAGGTCTGTTCCAATGTCTCCAAGTTAAAGTCAGAGCAAAGAATGACAGACGCCTGGGGAGTCCTAGAGAAACCCATAGGGGAACATGTCTTTTTTTTAGGTCCAAAGCCCCATTTTGAAAAACTCCTCCTGACTCTATATTGGTTTTATATTCTCTTTCTTTATATTAACTATTTGTTTTTCTTCTGATCTTTTTTTTTTTTAATTAGGGCATTTTTTTAAAAATGTATTTGTCTTTCTTGTCACAGGACAGGCAAGGTGGGAAGTCTGATGGCAGTGTGTCAGCCAAGGGTGAACTTGTAATGCAGGTACCTCAGCGAGCCCCAAGTCCAGTCTCTTGTTCTAAGTGTGTCCAAGGCTGCCTGTGGGGAGGACAGGGTTTGGGTTCTAGAGAAATAGATCTCAACATTTGCTTTCTCATCTGTCAATTACATAATTACATCACACAGGAGGGACAATTTATTTCCACCTTCTGGAATTATCTTTGACCACCACACTGTTGGCAAATGGTGAAAAGGGAGGTTGGCTGATTCATTGCTGGTCAAATTAACTTTATCACCTTTTTAGGAACAAGTTATGTAAAACTTATTGAAAATATACAATGGGTTTTCCAAGACTGTCAAGCTGTTTCTAGAATGTGATCTGCCAAAACAAAGTTAATCAGATCCAAAAGTTCTTCTTTAACCTTAAATATATACTTAAGAATGTATACTTAAGAATTTTTTAAAAAGATTTATTGATTTATTTGAGAGAGAGATGGAGACAGAGAGAGTACAAGCAGGGGGAAGGGTAGAGGAAGAGGGAGAGGGACAAACAGACTCTCCACCAAGCAAGGAGCCTGATGCGGGACTCCACTCGAGGCCCAATCCTAGAACCCTGAGATCATGGTCTGAGCCAAAGTCAGACTCTTAACCAACTAAGCCACCCAGGCGTCCCTTAAGAACTCATTTTTTACTTGGGTTCACCAAGTAAAAGTATTAGAAAAGGAAATAGTGGGTCTTGAAATTAGTGTGTCTTAAAAATTAAAACATAAGCAATAATGATGGAGAAACCATAGTAATATGGGATAGCTCTAGACCCTTTGAAAGGCAGAAAGTCAGGTGGAGCAGACACACACACACACACACACACAAATACACAATGAAGGTATACCAGTTGTTTACAGCTGGCCTCCATCTGGTTATCCTGCATCTGTTTTGATTGAGAGTGCCCATGCTGTACAGATCATTAAATATTTTGAATATCATCCCCGGAGGTCACACAGACAGTCACCCTGGGCAGATGAGAAAATTCTTAAAAAATCATAAAGAATGCTGCTGTCCATTTCAAACAACATGGTACTGTGTTAGCTCAAATTTTAGCTTGAGATCTGGAAAGGTAGGCATCACACATTGAATACGGAATACAGCTACACCTCCATATCAGTCTGTCCTTCAGCTGGATCCACAAGTGTTTATTAAGTACCCACTTCCTGATCCGGTGTCATGGGATGCTTGGGAGGAGGGTTGTACGCACACCTGCCCTGCTCCTGAGGCATTTAGAATCCAGTTGACATTTTGAGACATTTACCTAAGAACACATGAAACAAAACCCACATGAACAGACAACAAAAGGAACCCAGGAGATATTCCATGCTTCAAGTGCAATGGTTTTGGTTGCAGTGATCAAGGAAAGCTTCATAGAGGAAATTGCTCTTGAGTTGGGCCCTGAGAATGAGAAGTTCTTTTTAAGAGGTTGAAAGGAAGGAAGTGGGCTCTTCAGGGCATCAAGGAGGAGAAGAAACCAGTGTGAGCAGGCCCCCAGGGTGGGAAGGCAGGAGACACACTCACTGGAGAGTCAGAGCCGGGCTTGACTGGGACTGCCACTGAGGGCTTTAGCATTTAAGAGGCAACAGGAGATTGGGGCTGTGCTAAAATGCCATGGCTGCCACGTTAAGAGATTTGGATTTTATCCTCTGGGCAAGAAGGTGTCATTAAAGGTTTCTGAGCAGTAGTGGCATGACTGATGTCCCAGGAAGGAACTGCATACAGGCCTTACCTGAGGTGGGAAAGGCCCAAGCAGTGTGGGTACCATGGTGACTGCCAGAGATTAAGGGACATTCAAGGAAATAATTGGCAGGATGGGGTCTTCCCTAGATGACTAGCCAACTGATAATAGTATGTTTAAGAGAAGCAGTGAGCCAGGAGAGAGGACCAGTTTTGTGGAGACAGAAGATAGGTCAGGTTCGGGCATGTGAGTTTGCAGTGACGGTGAGATGTCTGGTTAAAAGTATCCATTGGACAGTGAGAAATATGGAATCAGGGCTCAGAGAAAAACTAGGGCTGGAAATGTGGATTTGGAAGATGCTGGTGGAAGTGATGGTTAACTTCACGAGTGTTATTTGGTTGATGTGTATGACCAGAAGACCATAACTTCTAAAATTATATTCAGTTGTATCCCTCACGAAGTATAATCTTGTGCTCATAGGGGATGCCTGGCTGGCTCAGTGGGTGGAGCGTGCGACTCTTGATCTCAGGGGTTATGAGTTCAAGCCGCACACTGGGCATCGAGCTTACTTAAAAAAATAAATTAAAAAATATATCTATAATCTTGTGCTTATAGCCACAATATCACACCATTGTTGAATCATTTAAAGCTATGGTGCCATTGCTGCATCTCTGATCCTAGCCTCAGACTCCTGCCAACATTAACACTGCTTAGGTCCACTCAAGTCAAAGACACTTAGCTGCTTAACCCCTCAGAAAATTCAGCCAGTGGACAGAGACCTACCTCCTAGCTCCCTCTCCTCCATGCTGGGAACTGCTTCCTGTCCCCCTTTTCTGGAAGGCATCTTAGCGTCAACTCTCGTCTCATTCATCCTCTTGGCTGAAAAAGAGCTAATTTCTTTTTCTTTTACCTTTGAAGTATAAGATCATCCCTACCCCGGGTACCCACCCCCTGCTGGTCTTGGTGAACCCCAAGAGTGGAGGGAGACAAGGAGAAAGGTATGTTCTATTCTTTTTCAAAATGGAGAGGCTGAGACAAGTTCACTCGGGTTTTTTCTTCCCCTCAACAGGGCGGACTGCAGAGCCAGGCAGACCTGGGTTCCCGTCCCAGCCCTACCCCCGACCACTTTATGACCTGGATCAACCAACTGCTTAACATCCCTGTGCTCTGGTTTCCTCCGCTCCTCTCATAGCTCCGTTGTGAGGATTAAAGTAGACACATGCTTAGCCTCAGGCCCATCACGTGAGCCATTATTATGGCTCCCAAGTTCCGACCAGGTTCTGAGACGCCTGTTTCCTTCCCAGCCTCGCAGGTCCTTTCTTGATTTAAGAGGAGTGGCAGGACTCACCTGATTGGGACCTCCTGGGCTGTCCAACTCCTAAGAAATGAGTTCCTTCCTTCCTCAGTGAAGGAAATGCCCAGTCTCCTGGAAGCACTAAGGGAATGGGAGGAGAGAGGGAAAATGGGTGAAGCAGCTCTCTCCCCCCAACCTGTTCAGCTCAGGGTAATGGACAGATGATGCAGTGATCTGGAATCCGGGTTTACAAAAATAATAAGTAGGGTTAAAGTGAGAACTATGAGAACCCCTGCTCCCTAGTCCAGGGGGCAGGGCACCCCTCCTGAACTGACCTGATTAGTCTCAAGCTGGAGCCTTGACACCAAGCCTACAGGTGGTCACTGCCCCTGGCTTCCCCTCCCCAGCCCCACCTCCTGCATTGCCTCCTGATCCCAGAATTTTGTGGGGGGTTTCCATAGAGGGTTCCTTGTTACCTTTGTGTAGTCCACAAAGAGCAGAATTGTACTACCTAGAACATATGGAACATTTGGGAGGAGGACTGAGCTTTAGGAGAATAGAAGTTTTATTCATCCGCAAGGGAGGATAGTCCTGGGGTTGAATGCTACAATCTTAGATGGTGGGGAGGCCCTGAGCCAGGGCGTGAGGGTGTGAATGAAGCCAACTGGACCTGAGACTTCAGGGTCTGCAGGGCCTTGTGCAGTCTTCTCCCCTCTTGGGTTTAAATGGACCCAGATTCCCACCACCAGTGGGCTCCAGAGGTGTTTGCTCTACTGTGACTTCTCACGATGACATTCTCCCTCTCTGTCTCTCTTTCTCTCCCTCTTTCTTTTTTTTTTTTTCCATAGAATTCTTCGGAAATTCCACTATCTGCTCAACCCCAAACAAGTTTTCAACCTGGACAATGGGGGGCCTACTCCAGGGTATGGAGAAACGATCGTTACTTATCTCTCCTCCTCCCCCTTTCATCTGAAGAAGATACCTTTCTTTGGTCACCCTCCTTGTCTCTTTCATCTATGGACTTACCCTTCCTGCCCTTTTAATCTTTTTGTCTTCATTTCCTCACGTCTACACTTACTTACTCCTGGAGTCGCTCAGGAACACTCCTTGTGGCTAGCTCTGGAAAGAAGCCCCCTATGTACCTCACCGGGAAAAAAGTTGGTGTTTTTGTAAAAGAGAAAAAGCACACATGCCAATCATTGGATTGACAGGAAGAGCGGGCTGGTAAATTATGTGAGGCTGTTAGCCGGTGTCTTCACACTGAGTCATCAGGGAGGAGGAAAGAGTTTTCCTAGCGCAGTCAGCAGTTCGGAAATCTATACAGCTGACTCAGAGTTCTGTTGCGTGTGCTGTTGGGGAGCATTTTAGGATCGAGGCAATTGGTTATTCAATGAAATCACTTCTTCCCCCCCCCCCCCCCCCCCCAGGATTATCCAATTTAGAGGTTGTTAAGCTGCCCCTGGCCCTTCTCCTGCCGGGTGCCTATTGGCTGTTTCACTGCCCATTAGAGCGGGAGAGTGAGGAGACAGGCAGCCCCTCTTTGGTCGGACTGCCCATCTGGTGGGAGGGGCTGGGCCCGCTGGGAGCGCTAATGTGATGGCTGCAGGTCCCTGTAATCAGAGGCCGCTTCATCATCGGGGCTGGAAGGCACCCAGACTGGGCTTCTTACCAGACAGGGCTGGTGCGCTAGGGACATCTGCTGGCCAGCCCGAGCCTGTGGGTCTCCAGGCCAGCTTTTCAGATCCGTGCACACTGGGCTGGGCTTCCCAGCACACAGCTGCTTTGCCCAGCCTCCTAACCTGCATTTCTAGGCTCAGTTCAGCAAGACCCTCAGCGGGTGGGGGCGGGGGACAGGGCTGCAGGAGGGACTATAAAAAGGCACCATGTCCCAGTCTTCCATTGTTTGACACAAAGCTGTTATTTCTATGGCTGTGATGGTGCAAGACCCAGTTAAAAGGAGAAAGAAATGTGAGTGCAAGTCCAGCACCTCTGCCATGACTTACATGTAAAACTGATTTCTAAACAGAGCCCACCTATGCTGCTGTGGGTGTCCTCACTGTCACCGTGATCGTAATTACTGCCCCGTCATGACCTGTGACTGAAAGGCAGCCTGCAAGTACCTTTACAAGCCCCCTCTCTTTCGGGGCATTGTGATACCTGAATACAATACTCTGGCTTAACCTCATTCATCCTAAATTGTTTCTGTCTTGCATGACAAGCCTGGGGGCTACTTCCAGGACTGCTGTGCCCGGAGTATCTTTGCTGTGTCTGTCTAGCCGAAATGAAAGGGGCCTCCATTCAGAATTCACTTCCTAGAGGAGAGCAGAGTTCTGCAGGAGTCGGGGAGGGGAGGAAATATTGCTTTGCCCACATACGCATCAGTGACTCAGAAAGCCCCAGGGGTCTTCTCAGACCACCAGGCTGGACAGAGGGGAACCCCTGAGCTTCAGCTTCCCATGGATGTTGGCAGGTCACATCTATTCTGAAGCAGAGATTTTTGTCCCTTTTTGTGCCAGAAACCCATTTGGCAGCTTGATGAAGCCAATGGACCTCTTCTCAGAGAATTTTTCTTAATGCGTAAAATGAAATCTATAGGATCACCAGGGAAATGAATTATATTGAAAAGACAGTTATCAAAATATTAAAAACAAAAATACTGGGATATGGGAATATATGTGATTTACTAACACATTTTTGATACGATCCAAGGCAGGTCTAGTAACTACTATTAATTAAAAACAGTGATGAGCATAAGTGATAGCATGGGGCAGCTACCACAACTGTAATAAAACATGAAAATACCTGAATTTGACTTCTAACAAAGTCATAGGTATTGTTCACACCTGTGATTTGTTGCCGGCTTCCATAATTGGAGAGGCTAAATCTCAGAGTTTAGCGAAGATAAGAATGTAACATTTTCTCCTGCCAGGTTCATGGCCCTCCGATTCTATCTACAGATCCCTTAGAGATTTGTGGGCCCTCAGTTAAGAGCCCTACTCTGAAGGGGGAAGGCCCCAGAGGGGAAATGGTGCTCCCTCCACTCGGGTCTGGACCCACAGGACAGTGGGATGAAGATCCAGCTAGTTCACTGCATCTGACTTAAAGGAGAGCTTCGGAGGACAGAGCAAGCAGGAGAGCCAGAGAAGAGTCAGTACACTGGGGGTTGGTTGTATTGGTGCCCAAAGAAGCAAACTGTGGCCTCCTCTGAACAAATAGTAGCGAATTTCCTAAAAACCATTTCCTGTTTGTGTTGAATGTTGAGTTAGATTCTCCTTCTACAAGCATGGCTCCCCAGGATTCTTCCCTATACTTCAGTGGCACTGAAGTTCTGGTTTCAGAACACTAAGTGACCCTTCCAACCCCAAAAGGAGTCAGGGCTGTAGCATACTCCCAGGGAATAGGGGAGACTCTTGACTCAAGTAGTGTCAAATGTCAGCCACAGCCTAGTAAATAAGACCATTTTGGCCTTTTACTTCCCAGACTGAACTTTTTCCGTGATACTCCAGACTTCCGTGTTCTAGCCTGCGGAGGAGATGGGACAGTTGGCTGGATTTTGGATTGCATTGGTAAGAATGGGCTGGGAGGGGCTTTAGAGTTTATTTATAATAAGTATATTGAAAGTCAGAGGAAGGCAATCAACAGGAAAGAGAAACGGAGCCATGTCTTGTTCATCCTTATTTCCGCTCTTGGAGCGTTGCTTAACTACATATCTACTTTGGGAGGAAAAGAGAAATGGAAGGATTCCCACAGATACAGGTGTAACTGTTTGGTTTCAGGCCTTGCCTCATAAGCATCTGTCACGGCCGGGGTTTGGGCAGTGGCAGCACAGACCAGTTCGGGGAGCTGTGAGGGAGAGAGGGCAGGACTAGGACTCCAGCCAGACCTAGGGTGGTGAGTAAAGGCCAGAGAATTAAGCACAGGTGTGTGTACATAGCCTGGGGCAAATCACCTTTAGATGAACACCTGAGCCTGAGTCCAGAAAGCACACCTAGAAAGTGCAGCTCAGTACAAGCAAAGAAAGGTCACACTGTTCTGTGTCCAGTATGCTTAGATCAGAAGGCAAGTAGGGAGGGCCCAGGCTGGGAATCCGGAGGCCTGAGTTTCAGTCCAGCTCTGCCTGGATCTGTGGGTCCTTGGACATCTCATCCCCCATAAATGATATAGGCTAACTCTGGAATTGTGTACCATTCCTCCCATAAATACTGCATGTACACCTCCATGTGCGAGCTCTCCTGCAGGCACTGGAGATGTAACAGTGAACAAATGCATAGAAATCCCGCCCTCCTGGAGCTTCCTTTCTAGGGGGAGGAGACAGGCAATCAACCAAAAAACAAGGGAAACATACAGCATATTGGAAGGTGATAAAAATACAGCAGGGAAGGGGCAAGGTAGGTAGGGTCAGGGGTGGTCTAAGTCTAAGACCCAAGTGTTTGGGGAAGACCTCACAGAGCAGATGACTTTTGCATGGAGACCTGGAGGAGAGGTGAGCCGTGAGGATACTTGAGGAAAGAGCAGTTCCGGCAGAAGGAACAGCAAATACAAAGGCCCTGAGGTAGGAGCAGGCCAGCCTGCTGAAGGCAGCAAGAGGGCTGCAGAGCGTGCTCGGAGCAGGGTGCGTGAGGGGAGAGTGACAGACAATGAAACAGGTCACTAGGATATGCTGGATAGTAGACAGAATGTGGCTTTCATACAGGAAAGGTCCCAAGACGCTGCATGATTTGGAGCAGAGGAAGGACACGACAGATCATGAGAAAAGGGCAGCAGCAGGGAGACCGGTCAGGAGGCTCCTGCAGTAATCCGAGTGACAGGTGACCAAGGCTTGGACGACAGGAGACACAGAGGTGGTGGTGGGGAGGAGTCAGCTTCTGGATATTGTTTGAAGGTGGAGGCAACAGGATGCGAGGAATATAGGCATCAGGGATGGACATGGGCAGACCCTGACCGAGGCAGGGAAGGCTGCGCCTGTGGGGGTCATAAGCAGCCTACCACGAGGGGTGGGACCACACCCAGCACACCTGCCACCTTCTGCTCCCCACAGGCACTCCGGTTTCCATGGACACAGCCCTGCCAAGCAGCCACCCACGCTCTCCTGTCACCTCCAGCTCAGGAGTTGTTTGTGGGAGGGGGGGAGGCATCCTCTGGGAGCCCAGGGAGGAAAAGCTGATCAGCAGAGGCTGGGTGGCTGCAGGCCTGGGAGCTGCTTGCATGCTTCCCTCTCCATCACGAAGGAGGATGTCGGCTTTGGTGGTTTTATAAAATTCATCTGCAGAGAACACAGGGGAAAGGGGATGCCCAAAATTGAAAGAATAAAGGTCATATGACAGGTTGGTGGCCTGATGAGAGAAAACAGTGGTGAAAGGAATAACTGCATAATGTTCATCCATTCACTCATTCGTTCAAGAATATTAAAGCACTATTCAGTGCCTTCTGCCACCACATTTTGGTCCCCCCGCTGATCTGTTTATGCTCTACAACCAGAGCGGTCTTTCCTAAATGGCAGTGGGTTTGTGATGTACATAAAACATATCAGTGGCTTCCCATTATTCTTAGGAAAGAGACAAAAGGTCCTGGTGCTCTAGTAGCTGCCCACCCTTCCAGCCCTACTTCGTACCTCAATTCCTCTCCCTCTAAACTCCAGCTACCCAGTCCCTCTCTCAGACCCTTGAATATACCAGTCTCCCTTCTACCACAGGGCCTTTGCCCAAGTGCTTCCTCCGGTTTGGTATGCGCCCTGGCCATTCCTTGGTCAACTTCTACTTCAGCTCTCAGCCCCAAAGTGTGGCTTCCTCAGAGGAGCCTTCCCTGACACCCAGCCTCAGTCACCTTATTATATGATCACATTTCTTCCCTTTCCAGTATGAATTTGGAATTTTGCATCATTTATTTGAAGACTGTATTAGTATCTGTCTCTCCCTCTCAGTTGTAAGCACCATGAGAGCCTGTGTCGTGGCACTTTGACCCACTGTTAGAGCCCCAGTACCTAACACAGCACCTGACACATAGTAGGCCCTCAGTAAATGTGCGCAGAGATACTGTGATGACTGAGACATAGTTCCCCCAGGGAGGTTACAGTGCATACCGAGAACAAACGAGTAGTCGATGACAAGAAACACTGGAGGGGCGCCTGGCCTAGACTAGGGCAACCAGGGAGGGCCTCCCAGAGGCAGCTTCTAAACAAACAGAGAGCTTGTGACTTTAAGGCACTGAATATACTTGAGCATGGTTGACCCATCAAGCAGGAGGAGGCTAGAGCGGAGGACAGAGCCTGGTGCCGTGCTGGAGATGATGGGCACCATGACAGAGGGAAAGGGACCACCTGCCCTGGAGGGGTGAAGAGCCACTAGGGGAAACTGAGACTGGGGAAGTAAAGAGGCAGCGGCTCAGTACCGGGGGGGGGGGGGGGGGGAGGAGGAGGAATCATGTACCTGAGCTCAGGCATCAGCACAGGAATATCGAGAAGAGCTTGCCGAGAGATCTATTACGGAAACAGCACATGGAAACTGCTGTGTGAATGATGCCGGGTGAGGGACAGGGACAAACCGAGGATGACATCCAGGTTTCTAGCCTCAACACCAGGAAGATGGTTGATCTTTTGAGATGGGGCCCACGGAAGGAGCGGACATAAGGCAAAGGGAGCAGCAGGTACAAGGGCAGGGAAGCAGAAATGCAGACCACGTGTTCCAGGAACAATGACAGAGCCCATTGCTTTGCTCTGTCCCCCGCCTTAAACCTCCTGGTGGTGAGCTCAGCCCAGGGCCTTGCCTGAGCTCAGTCACTTGTGGCATGAGCCAGACAACCCGGGGGACCTGTGAACTCCCCCTTTTGCGGGGGCAGCCCTAGCATTCGCCCCACTTGCTGATTCCCGTCCCCCCAAGCGCACTCCTCAGTGAGCCTCACCCACATCCCCGCACCGGGCCTGTTGCAGCTTATGTCAGTGGCGCCCCCTGGAGCCCAGTGGGTGCGCGAGCCTGTCCCACCTTCCTCCGTGCCACCAACATGTTGCTGTGGGTCTGCAGCCCCGTGAAACCACGCATGTTTGTGCTTTCTCCAGCGGTTCAGTTTGATGCTTCCTCACAAGCCGCATGGCAGAGCAGCTTGGGAACTGTGGATTTGCGAGTCTGGGAGGTGGGAGAAGTGACGAACTCGTATCTGTGTGCCAAATAACACCTTGAGGTTTTGTTTGTTAGATACAATATTATTTTTAAGCTTTCAACCTGAATGACATTAGATGAGACAGCGCCAGTTTCCCAAATACCCCACGATTCCCTGGTTTCTCAGACCCAGCTGTGGTTACTCTCCGTGCACCTGCGTAGCCCCTGAAGCAAGGAGGAGCCTGGACTTGGGACCACAGAGATCTGGGTTTGGATCGTGACTCCAGACTTACTTTCCCCCTCTGAACCTCAATTCCATCATCTATGAGGAGAATAATAATACCCCGCAGAGTTGCTGTGAGGGACAAATGGAGAAGGTGTTAATTACGATTACAAACTAATGTTTTCAAGGTGTACGCTGTCACCTCAAAGGAAAGAATTTGGATGAAATGAGGATAAGCAGGTGCAAGTTACAGGGAGACCGAGTTAGCTCAGTATGGAAGAATCCTTTGTAAACGGTTCACACACTGCAGAAGGAAGAGCTTTAGGAAGTAGAGTGCTCTCCATTATGGGAGCTCTGCAAACAAAGATGCCCTGGAGGGGTTTTAAGCGACAGATCAGGGATAATTAAATAACCCACAGGTTCCGTAATCTGGTGGCATATGGTTTTCTCTTCTTCTGCATGGATTGCAGATAAGGCCAACTTTGCAAAGCATCCACCGGTGGCTGTCCTGCCTCTTGGAACAGGAAATGACCTGGCCCGCTGTCTCCGCTGGGGAGGAGGTGAGTCTGCGTGCCAGTGGCTCTCCCCCGGGGACAAGCACGCCAATCTCCAGGGATGCTCTGCAGGGCTAGGCTGAACTTCCCTTCTAAGAATTCCATTCCACAGAGTCCTACCTACTCCATGACCATTCCCCTGCTCTCCAAGTTTTGCTGAGACCTGTGCTCACCCCTCAGTCTATTTACTCTGATCCTGAAACTCTCAGCCTAGAGCCTGTCCACCCCAGCAGAACATAGTCAGCTTTAGGGTAGGCTCCTCTATGTCCCCCACAATGCTCACTCTAGTAAGGGCTCACTCAGGTGTTTCCTGAATAAAATTCCCTCCTCTCCAAATTACTGCTCTTCTTCTGAATTAGGACTCAGAATGCAAACTGAAAAGCTATGTTGCCAGCTACTTGGGGCATCCAGATCATCATAGGCCCCCATGGTCATTGGCCTTCATTTTGCTATCCCCCTGTGGGGGATCTCAAAGTGGTGACCAGTTCACAGAACAAGGGGCAGGAGCTGAGGAGAACTCTGAAAACTGCAGCCGCCCCCATGGGGCTGGGAATGCTCCAGAGCGCAGAGGAGGTCAGGACAGCACATGGAAGGGGGCAGAGCAGTCTGGCAGGCAGAACTGGGATGGACTTCCAGATGGCTGATGGATTCAGCGAGGATTCAAGACCAGCTCAGGCAGTGGTCAGTGTTCAGAGCTGGGTGCATGCCTGGTGGCAGGAGCACAGGAAGCAGAAGCCAGCCCCAGAAGGAAGTTGGCAGGAACAGATGTCCTCAGCCCCACCCTGAGGCTAGGGAAGAGCCCTCTGTTCAAGAGGAACAAGCAGAATGTGGTCCCAGGCTGTGTGCATCCAGGCAGCACAGCTAGGCGCAAATTTCATGCAGGAAGCCCAGCCCTGTGCTCCCAGAGAGCCTCCAGGTCCTCAGCTACATAGTTGCTACCATTGTTATCTTGTGAGGCGTCCCTAAGGAGCTGACCAAACTAACAACTTGAAAATACTCTTCAGGGTTGCCCTAAAGGTAAGCAGAACGTGGGAGTGTTATCTGAAAGAAAAGACTGTCTCTCCCACTAACCTCTCACGACTTAAAATTCACTTTCTATACTGCTTTTCTATTGCTGCATAACAAATGATCATAAATGTAGAGGCTTAAAACATCCCTTTGTTAGCTCACAGTCCTGTCGGTCAGGAGGCCTAGAACAGCATGACTCGGTTCTCTGTTCTGGGCCTCACAGCCTGAAATGAGGGTGTTGGACAGGCTGTGCTCTTCTCTAGAGTCTCCGGAGGGAGAATTTGCTTCAAAGCTCATTCACATTGTTGGCAGAAGTGAGTCCTTTGTGGTTATAGGACCGACGTCCCTGTTTCCTTGCTGGTTATCAGCTGGGACCATTATTAAATCCTTGAGGCTTCCTTTTTCCTTGACAAATGGATCCCTCCATCTTCAAAGCCAGCCACGGAGAATCTCCCTCACCTGAAATCCCTCTCAATGAGAGCTTTGAATCATTTTCTTAAGGAAAAGCCCAGTCCTTTCTAAGGACTCAGCCAATTAGGTCAAATCCACTCAGATACTCTCCCTTGCTTAAAGTCAACTGTGCCATATCATATAGCTAATCATGACAGGGACTATCCTATCTTATTTGTAAGTCCTGGGAATTGCAGGGTATATACCCTTGAGGGGGTGGGCAGGGATAGGGGAGACCATCCTAAAATTCTGCCTACCACACTGTCCATCTCCGACATGACCCAGTCCTGGAACAGATCCTTTGTTCTCCCGTGTGCAGCTTCCCAGCCCCCCAGCCCACCAATTCTCTAGGGCTTGCTGTGGCTACGTAAGCCTGCCCACCTTTGCCCAGCCCCCACCCCTTTGCCTTCCAAATCTCCCCAGCTGCTTTGCCTTCCAAATCTCCCCAGCTTCTTTCTTACTACACCCTGTTGTCCTCTCCTCCTCCATGGCTCAGGGAACCTAAGTGTCTCTGGCCCCCAGACACACTGGGGAGTCTCCTGGTCACAGATGCCCACAGAGTTCCCTGCCTTGATAGCTGCCTGTACATCAGCAACAAGTTAGCCTTTCTGCCCTGGGGTCACATATAATGCCGTGCTCCACAGGTTATGAAGGGGGCAGCTTGACAAAAATCCTGAAGGACATCGAGCAGAGCCCCTTGGTGATGCTAGACCGCTGGCATCTGGAAGTCATCCCCAGAGAGGAGGTGGAGAATGGGGACCAGGTCCCGTACAACATCATGAACAACTATTTCTCCATCGGTGTGGTGAGTTGGTCAAGGATTGCCTTTCTCATGGAAGAGAAACGTCTGGGTGGGCAGAAAGGTTCTGGTCCCCCATCATCCCTCTCTTCAGCTCTCCCAGCTAACCCAGTCTTGACTTGGGTCCAAGCATCCTTGCGTGTGGCCTGGGTATGGCCACCCTGAATGTACCAAACCCCGACCCTAGATGATGGAGGAAATTCCTTCCCCTATAATTGTAACTAACACAAGAAAATAAGAACTTTTTTTTAAAAAAAGAGATTTAGGGTGCCTGGGTGGCTCAGTTGGTTAAGCAACTGCCTTCGGCTCAGGTCATGATCCTGGAGTCCCGGGATCGAGTCCCGCATCGGGCTCCCTGCTCGGCAGGGAGTCTGCTTCTCCCGCTGACCCTCCCCCCTCTCATGTGTTCTCTCTCATTCTCTCTCAAATAAATAAATAAAATCTTTAAAAAAAAAAAAAAAGAGATTTACCCCTTGGATAATTTGAAACAGTTTAAAAGAAGTAACAGCAAGAAATAACCAAGGGGCGGAGTCAGAAGACTCTCATGTGAGCTTCCAGAGTGAGAATTCTGATCCTCCAAGGAGAACCATGTGGTCCCAAGTTGGCTTAGCTAACTTAGCTGTCAGAATTCCTTCTCTCCTGTTCTCTCCCCTCATCTCAACTGTATTCCCTATACTCCAGGTGTTCATAAATCTCTGGGGGCGTCTCCTCCCAGCTGACCCCTCCCTCAGGTGAGCTCCATGCTCCTTCGTGGTGCTTCCACAGCCTTCTGTGTTCACCCTGTCAGTGTACCCTCTGCATTCGAGTGAAGGGATTGGTTTACTGTGCTCACTTCACACACTTCCATTGCGCGCACACACACACACCCAACACACACCTCTAACACATACCCCCTACATACACACCACCCCCCCCAGAGCACAAGGACAGCACCACATTCCTTTCTTCCTCCAGCTCCCAGCACATCTAGCACAACTCAATTAGTTTTACTGAACTCAGCTTCTGGTCCAGAGAGGATAGAGGTGGACCCTGCTTCCTAAACTGTTGAGGATGGAATCGGGGAGAAAAGAGATCCATCCATTCCACAGATAGAGCTGGGGTTCTACAACAAAGATACTAGCACTTACTGAGCACCTACTGTGTGCTCACCGCTATGCTAGGTCTTATGTATTACAATCCTCATCGCAGTCTTGCGTGTATCACTGTCCCCACAGTCCCCATTTTGCAGATGGGGTCTGGGGCCTGTCAGTTCCTGACTAGTTCCTTGACTAGTGAGGGCCAGGAACTGACACAGGCATGCTGTGCCTTACAGGCTTTCCTGGTACCCTGCCTTTGGAATTATGCCGCCCAGTTTCAGATGCATAGAAATCTCTCTAAACCAACCATCCAGGTCCGGATTGTGGGATAGCTGCTCTTGTCAACCATCCTCATCTGTGCCTCTTTTGAAAACTTTGGTGGCTTAAAAAGAAAAAGGAAACAGAAGGGGAAATGATCGATAGCTTAAGGGAAGAGCAGGTTTTTTTGTTTTTTTTTTTTTAAAGATTTTATTTATTTATTTGACAGAGAAAGACACAGCGAGAGAGGGAACACAAACGGGGAGTGGGAGAGGGAGAAGCAGACTCCCTGTCGAGCAGGGAGCCCGATGCGGGACTCGATCCCGGGACTCCAGGATCATGACCTGAGCCGAAGGCAGTCGCTCAACCAACTGAGCCACCCAGGCGCCCAAGGGAAGAGCAGGTTTAAGGAAAGGGTTTTTAATAAGAAGACTAGAAGGGCACCTGGGTGGCTCAGTTGGTTGAGCATCCGACTCTAGGTTTCAGCTCAGGTCATGATCTCAGGGTCGTGAGATCAAGCCCCATGTCAGCTCCGCACTGAGTGTGGAGTCTGCTTGGGATTCTTTCCCTCTTCCTCCTCCTCTGCCCTTCCCCACTGTGCATGTTCTCTCATTCTCTCTCTCAAATAAATAAATAAATACAATCTTTAATAAGAAGACTAGAAGAAGAACCACGGAAGAGGAAAGGATGTTTTAAAATACCGTACATTTACAGAATTTAAAATTTACCATATTAATAGGTATTTTCTTGATTCTTACGACTACATTGAAGGGCAGTATTTTCTCCATTTTGTAGATAAGGAAACAAAGAGTCAGATGAAGGGACTTGCTATCATTCTCTGGCTCCTAAGCCAGCACTGTTTTTCTATTACTACAACAGAAGACAGAGGCATTGCTGGCCCGCAGTCAGGGTCTGAGTGGACGGCGGATTGGACTGGCGGCATATTCAGGGTCCCTGTGCCCCGATTTGGTTTATCTCCCCAGCTCACCTGGCCTCAGGGGAGACGCCTCTCCCTAGGTCTCTTCAAGCTGCCCCCTCCAGTGGCCTAAGCAGACCCCTCCTTCCTCTTCTTGTTGGCTCAAAAGCCCCTCTCCCTTTTGGGCCCCCCTCAGGCCCTGCTTCCCCCAACAGGAACACACAGCCCTCAGCTACTGCCAATGGGACATGACCAACAGGTCTGGTGTTCAGGAGGCTTCTAGAGCATGGGCTTCCCATCATGGCAATTTCACAAAAACCTGTGTCCTTTTCTTAGAGTAACCAGAGTATAGCTTGCTAACATGTATTGAGTTCCTGCTGCACATGAGGCCCAGGTGGCCTATTGGTAGGTATAGTCATTATCCTTTTGTATTTTGTAAGAAGGAACTGTAGCTTAGAACAATACAGAGACAGGTCTCAGCTGGTGAGTGGTGGAGCTGAGAACCTCTGGTGCTGAGCTCCAGAGCCCCCTGAGCTGTGGACCAGGAGCCATACAGCCTCTGCGCAGCCCCTGCACAGCCCCCTCCGTCCTCAGATGCTTTCCTTCACTGGGGGGGGGGGGGGGGGGGGGGTAGGGCGGCAGGAAGTCTCAATATTTAGTGTGTGAGGGCTCACTGGTGCCCTTTGTCAGAGATGCAAATTCCACCCCCCTGATAGATCCTGGTTTGTATTCTGATTTGGGTGGTCTGGGCAAGGTCTGGAAGTTTGTATTTTTAACAGGCCTCTGAGATAATTCTGATGTAGATGGTCCCAACCAAGTCTTCAGTGATGGAGACAGCCCATCAGAACAGAGAAGAATGGTCCAAGAAGTGTTCCTACACAGGAGCAGAAACCAGAGCTGAACTGGATGAAGGAGAAAAATGATAGCGAGGAGGGGACACAGGCCCTGCAAGTAGGCAGACAGAAGGGAGAGCGGAGAGCGGGGTAGCAGGGCTGCTTGCCCTGCCTGGGAATTTCTAGATGGCAGCTTACAGCCGTGGCTGCCTTTAGAGTCTTTAGCCCCACATCTTTTCTTTCTTGACACATTCAGCTCTGACTGCCAAAACATGATTTTTTTTTATAAGATTTTATTTATTTATTTGAGAGAGAGAGAGCACAAGTAGGCAGAGTGGCAGGCAGAGGGAGAGGGAGAAGCAGGCTCTCCGTGGAGCAGGGATTCGGACATGGGGCTTGATCCCAGGAATCTGGGATCATGACCTGAGCTGAAGGCAGCCACTTAACCGACTGAGCCACCCAGGTGCCCCCAAAACATGATTCTTGATACCTCCTGTCTGTTTCTACATAGTGCCATATGCAAAAAATTTCACTCACTCAGTATTTCCTGACCATGCATAAACACACCAAAAAGGAATAAACAGCCTCACCTTACCTAGATAACCTCATCCTAATCCCAAGAGCCATGATGATCATGGTTTTAATTCATTTTTGCAAATAAGTAGGAAGGAAGGAAGTTGGGGGACAGGAGGAAGGAAAGGAGACCACCTAATTGTCCCCCAAGGAAATGCATACAAACAGATTCTCCATCACACTCAGTGGTCAGGGTATTTATTTGCCTGGGGCTGACTTATAATAATCCAATCTGTTCATCTTTCAAGTTATAAAGAACTTCACAATATCTTTCTCAACGATTATTTTTTTCATACGCCTTTCGCTTGTGCATGTTTAATATTTTATTGTGAAGCAGTGAGGAACCAGGACGGTTTTTATCTCCTTGGTGTACCCTTAGGCTTCTCTCAATAAAATGTTTGCAGGGTTTGTATGCTCGCTCTTTAAAAGTTGGAAAGGGAAATTCTTGAGAAAACAAGTAGCCAACACGCAACTCTAACAGAATCTGGGGCTGACATTTGCAGAAGCTCTTCCTCCCTATTTGACTTCCCAAACTTTGTAAGAGAAGACGTCGGTATGTAAACCAACCCCACAATTTTACTTCCTTGTGATAATTAGAGTCAAACTCCTTTGGCAAAGAGAGCCGTGCAAAGTCTTTGCCCCTTTCGAAGGACCTGGAATATCTGAGTGATGTCCGGAGTCTGCTCCCTTGTGTATAAAAGGGAGGACTGCTGCTGTGGTGGCCGCAGGTGGTAGAGCATTTGCCCTGACAAGTTCACTGGGGCCCCGGGTGCCAGCAGAATCCATGTCATGCGTGGAGGGATAAACAGGGCAGACCCTCCTGGCCCACCCGGAGAGCAACTGTGGCCCCATTGTCACCACGTTTCCATCACCTACATATGTGCCGGCCCTCCACCAGTGACGAGTTGACATGTCCTCCCAACTGACAACACCCCTTGGCAGGAGATTTTCAACATTAACATTCAGGCTCCTACTTCCTCTGGCTTCTCTGGCCTCCTCGTCCCTGCTCTTTATTTTTGGATTTGCAGAAATGTCAGGATGGCCAGGTATCAGTGACAGGAAGTTTGGGCCCATGAAAATAATTGCTGGGGTATGTGTAACTCCAAATGCCTCAAAGGCTCTGCTTTCACTGAGCCTCCACCGGCGGAGTGAACAGCTAATCCCTTGATTCAATGAGATCTATTTCTGATGCGAGGGGAGCCCAGGGGCCAAGGAGAGGCTGCAGTCACCACACTAACCCGCACCCCATTTTCCCCCTTACGGATTGTACTTCTCAGGCTTTACCAGCTAAGTTTCCACCATGATGAGTCCCCTACCCATTAGGGAATTTATCAAAAAGTAATCATTTTCCCTGCAACTTTTCTGGATTCCCTCAGTGTCAGGTTCTTGTCTGTCACCTGTGAGAGCCCTTGGAGGTCCTAAGACAGTGGGACTCACTGAGAGGTGTCTGGGACAAAGGGTCTACGCTCTTTTTCATCCTCCGATCTGCCATAATTTTTCAGAACTATTCAAATTCCAAATGATCTCTTTTATTGTCTCCTTTGTCCTTTTTACCTCCATAAGTTGCCCAAGTGACTTGGACCTGTGTTGTCCAATATGGTGGCCGTTAGCTGCATATAGCGATTGTGTACTTGCAATGGGGCTAGTCTAAATTGAGAGACGCTGTAAGTGTAAAATACACACCAAATTTCAAAAATGTAGTATAAAAGAATTTTAAACATCTCAGTAATTTTTATACTGACTACATGTTGCAGTGATAATATTTGTCAATGAAAATATATTATCAAAGTTAATTTCACCTTTTTCTTCTCACTTATTAATGTGGCTACTAGAAAATTTTAAATTTATTTCTATCAGCACTGGCCTAGACATCCAAATATCTCAGAGTCCAAATGACGGCAGCTTATATTTGGAAGGGACACAAAAATCTTTTGGACTTCCAGTTTTAGCTCAGGAAAGAGCAGCCCATCATCTCCTCTGTTCCTCACACCTCACAGAAGGGACACCGGAGAGTGACCTTCAGAAATGCCATCACTTCCAAGGCTTTGCAATTCCCATCTCCATCCACCTGCCCCTTCAAAAATGGAAGTCTTATTTTGCTGTAATTATTACCAAGAAAGGGTTTGAACCATTGTAGCACTGGTTCCCAGAATTTAAAGAAATCACTATTGAATATAAACACACCCAGCTCAGTGCCTGCCACAGAGCTCAACAGAGGGTGAAGGTGAATCTCCGCTCTTTTAAATCCCCACGTAGAGAAATGTGGTCAGAGTCAGAGTCTTTATCATCATGTCCTTTTCAAGACTCAACAGCAAAGGAACTGCTCGGCTCTCCCTTGCTACTTTGTGTGTTTGTGGGGAGATTACATTGGAACCCCATGCTTAACTAACAATATTGTAAAGGCTGGTCTTTGTGAAAAGAAGCTTTGCAAAACCTAGTTTAAAAATACAACAGGGCACTGGGTGGCTCAGTTGGTTAAGCGACTGCCTTCAGCTCAGGTCATGATCTCGGAGTCCTGGGATCGAGTCCCACATCGGGCTCCCCCTTCTCTGTGGGGAGACTGCTTCTCCCTCTGCCTCTGCCTGTCAGTCCCGCTGCTTGTGCTTATTCTCTCTTTCTCTCTGTCAAATAAATAAATAAAATCTTAAAAAAAAAAAAAACAGGGCGCCTGGGTGGCTCAGTCGGTGTCTGCCTTTGGCTCAGGTCATGATCCCAGGGAGCCTGCTTCTCCCTCTGCCTGCCGCTCCCCCTGCTTGTGCTCTTTCTCTGTCAAATAAATAAATAAGATCTTTAAAAACAAAAACAACAACAAGGATAAGAACTGTGCAGAGGGAGGGAGCCTATGCACATATCCCTGAGAATAAGAAAACCAGGAGCCAGTCATAATAGTCCTAGGGGTATGGGGAGGGTCGCAAAACACAAATCATGCCAGGCAACGTGTGATGGCTTTTTTCTTTCCTCCTCTTTCTTTCTTTTCTCCTGACAGAAGAAAATTAGTGCTTCAAAGGAACACAAGTTGATGGAATGTTTTCTTGAACTCTAGAGAAGCATTTGACAGATTTCACATGAATCTTTATTCAGAGTGTTCACTGAAACTTGCTCAGAGCCAGGGAGGGAGAATGAAGGCCTGTCTGGGGAAGCCACCCGGGACAGAGGCTTGGGGGGCCCTGCACATCTCCCACCATGTGTCCACAGGGGGGCCTAACCAAGACCTTCAACTCTCCATGTGTCTTAAAGGAAAAACAAAACAATCAGTAACTAGAGTTTAAATGTTAAATTCCCAGGCACCTGGGTGGCTCAGTCAGTTAAGCATCTGCCTTCAACTAGGGTCATGATCCCGGGGTCCTGGGATCAAGCCCCACATTGGGCTCACTGCTGAGCAGGGAGTCTGCTTTTTCCTCTACCCCCTCTCCCTGCTTGTGAGATCTCTCCCTCTAACTCAAATAAATAAAATATTTTTCTAAAAAAAGAAAAATAAATGTTAAATTCCCAAAACATTATTTCAGCAGGTAGTGTTGGCCAACCACACACCAAAAAAACCCATAGCCTCGACTTGCCTCTGTAGTGGGTTGCTCGCTGGGTTTACTCTGCCAAATACAAGTATGACAGAAGCCCCTCTTAACCCCCTAATTTGCTTCCAGACTTTCTGTCTCCCACCATTATCCTATATTTTACTCACCACACATAGCCCATGCTCCAAAAAAAGGTTCTCCACTGAACGATACCTCCTGATGTTAAAAAATAATAATGTTCAGAAATTTTCTTTTGTGAGTCCATACCAAGAAACGGAATTAATATGCATTGGCTTAAATGGAATTTCAGTGCTCTCTTAGCCATATAGTATAGTAAACGAGTTTCTGTAGCTTTTTTCCTGCACGTATCTGAGTCAGCTCCCTTGTTTCTGTGTCACTCCCCACCCCCCAACCCATAGCTCAATTCTCCTGTTTCTTTATAAAGTCCACCCTTGCACCTAATGTGTTGGCATGAGGCCTGAGTGGTGAAGGGGCTCAACACATTCTTCTGCTGGAAAATGAGACCATTAATGAGGAGGAAAGACCAAGTGTGAGGAGGAAAGATGAGCTTGGTTTTAGGTCTGAAGCTCGGGGTTGGTTCTACAGATATACATTGTGGAGACATCAGAGATGCTAGTAGTAAGTGTGAGAACTCGAGATGGTCCATGACATGGGGTGTAGGCTACAGATAGGACTCAAGGCTGAGAAGTTCTGGTCAGAGAATGGAGAGCCCAGAAGCATGGTGTCATGGGAGCCTTCCTAATAGTGAGTTCTGAGGAGTAGGTGGCCAATAGCGCAGCAAAGGGGTGTGCAAATAGGAAAGCAAAGTGTCCATAGACGGTGGTAGTGCGACTCTTCTTGACCTTGGGGAAGGACCTTTCTGTGGAGATCAAGTAAAAGAAGCCAGAAGTTTAAATATATTTTTATTATCTACTAAGCATGTTATTCAATGCTACTAATTATTTCTACTGATATGAATGATTAGAATTAATATATCACAGCATCCACCAAAGTCAGTTTTCTGGGTTTGACAATGTACCATAGTTACATAAGATGTTATTGGGGGAAGCTGGGTGAAAGGGATACAGGAACTCTCTGTACTATTTTTGCAACTTCTTGTGAGTCTTAAAATATTCCAAAATAAAAAGTATTTTTTAAAAAGAGTTAATATGGCAAGGCATTTCCAGAAATTCACACTCAGCCCCACGCGCACACGGGCTTCTGCACTGTAACTGCCCCCACACCCAGATACCCTCTCTCCCCTCAAAGGGCAGCGGCTGTCCCCTTCATTCACCCTAAACTGTGGCCGAGAATGAAAACTGCAAGGAGTCGACCGGCATAGGTTCTACAGGCACTGGTGGCTAGCTCCTAACCTTGGACCTGGTGTTCACCCTTTGCGGGAGCCTCCTGTTCTCCCCTATGACATGGACTCTCCAGGGTTGGGGGCTTTCAGTGAGAGCCTGTGTGCTTCCTTTCTTTCCGCATGGCACGGTCATGACCACTAACCTGGCGTCTGCTTCCCTCTCTTTCCCTTTCAGGATGCTTCCATCGCACACAGATTCCACGTGATGAGAGAGAAACACCCTGAAAAATTCAACAGCAGGTAAGAGTGCCCTGAGGCTGCAGCCCCGCCGCCCGGCCCGCCGGCCCCGCCCCTCCCCCACGCAGCCGGGCCAGACCGAGGCCTCCACCTGCTCTCGCCCAAAAGTTCTGGCCCGGCCGCCCAGGGACGTGGCTTTCCTGCCACGTTGCCGGAAGGACGGTTTCCATTTCCAAGCAGAAAACGGTGTCAGAAACCTGCCGCAGCCTGGCCGCCTGTCCCCTCCCGGAGGATGCCGTGCAGAGGGAAGGACTGCGGGGCTGGCAGGGAGGGCGTGGTATGCCCGCCTTGAGGGGTGGCGATCTGCTTGCTCTTGGCTAACTGGAACCCGCCTCCCGGGGCTTGGCCGCTTTCTCTAGACGGAAAGCTCCCGCAGCCCTAGCCCACCCCGGAATTTCTGTGGGGAGGGCCAGGCAGGATGGCCGGGGCGGGGTGTTGGAGAGGGGGCCTCGGATTCTCTCTGTCTCGAAGGGAGGGAGCGGCAGCGGCGGGGCCGGGGCTAGGAGGGCAGAGAGGGCGTCGCCTCCGCGTCCCCCGACAGCAGAGGGCAGCAGAGAGAGGCCCCTGCAGGGGCTGTGAGGCCGGGAACCCACCAGGTCCCAGGCTCAGCCCTTGTGTGAAGCCTGAATGTTAGATCCAAAATTACAAGAAGAGAGAAAACCAGATCTTTTGCAAACAAAACTAAGCCCTTCTTGCTGGTGGGAGGGAATATGCGAGAAGTGAGTTGTGACTGGCATATAGCTACCCCTGGGATTGCTAAAATACCTTTCTCCATTCTTTCTTTTTTTCTTCTCGTTGGTTGATTTCCATCCGTTTTCCTCTTTTGTTGTGCCCTTTCAAGATGACCATTGGCTCCCACCCCACCCTCCAGCAGGTGGGGAGGAGGAATGCAGACTGAGCCTGAAGGGAGTGACTTCCGTAGCCCATAGGATTGAGCAGAGGTTGTCCGAAGACATTTGTTTAAAGATTCACACCCCAAAGAGCACCATCATTTTCATTGCTGCTCCTTTCCCCTGACCCCACTGCCTGGGAGGTTAACCCGGGAAAAAGAAAGTCTTATCATAACATACTTCAGCTTCAGGAAAAGTGATCTATGGGATCTACTAGCTGAACTAATCTTCTTAGCGTGGGCCTTCTGTCCCAAGCCTATTCCATCTGGCTCTCTCACCCAGCCTACGCAGACTTACAAATCACTATTAACAGGTATGCATTTAACCCCCACCCTTACTGTAATCAGCTGACCCTCCTTGTACATTCCTTGTCACTCTCACATACACGCTAAATTATTCCTTCTCTTCCACCTGTTGTAGACGTCTTAGGTGCTCTTTTCACAGAGGTGGCCTTATGCATACTCATGCACACATACTTGTTAAAATGCCATATGCTTGTGAGATCCATAGGGGTTCTGCTCATTCATTCATTCCACACTAGCTTTAGAAAATAGACTCCGTGCCAGGCACTGTTCTGTAGGTGTTTTGAACAGACATGTGTAGGGGCTCACAGTCCAGTGGTGCAGACCTGAAGGCAGATATGCAGAGTGACTTGTGTGCAGTGGTATGAAACGAGCTAACCTATGGAACACAAAGCAAGGACATGGAATTTGGCGTGGAGGGGCTTCTACCCATGGAGATGCCAAGACGTGGGAAACAAGTGTGTATTTTCCAGGTTGGCAAAAAGAGAAGGGTAGCCCAGGGAGAAGGAAGCAAATGTACAGAAGGATAATAACAAGGAGTGAGAGAAGGCAGGATGCCTGGGGAAGAGCAAAGGAAGAAGCAAAACCCCTGTAGTTTGTAGTGAGTGAGGAAGCAGAGGGAGGCAGAAATTTCTCCATATTCCATAAATCAGTACGTCAACACAGGACATAAATAGAGTAGTTGTCAATTGCCCACATGATTAAATACAATTAGAAAGATACCTCTGTCAGAAAAAAAGTTGTCATTGTGCATTTCACTGTGATCTTGTGACTGTTTTTCCTTTCCATTTCCCCATTCTATTAATAAGACTATTCTGCAGTTAGCTGCACACCCTTCCCCTGGTCGAGGTCAAGGTAGTGTGGTCGCTCAGGACGAGAGGCACACAGATTTGCGTGTAAATCCACATCCCTGCAAATAAGTGGAGCCCTAGTGGCACAGAGGTGGGCCCTGTTGCATAAGGTCCTAGCAGCCTTCCTAGTAAGAACTTTTGAGTCCCTGCTGCTTCTACCCCGCCTGCTTGCTCATGTGGAAAATACTCATGAGTGCCCACTTTGTCCGCTGAGAGGCAGGCGAGCAGCCATTTTCTCCAGGCTTCCTTATTTAGCTTTGGAGATGGTTTTAAATAGGCAGGTGGTTGTTGCCATGGTTACCCCATTACACCAGCGGCTAAACTTAGGAAGGGCCACAAGGGATAGGAAGAAAGCTTGATACCCGGGATTTGGAAATGTAAACGATATTATCAAACAAGCCTTCGTTTTATTCTGCTGAACTGAGGCTTTCCAGAGAGTAGTCAGGGCTTGGCTAGATGTCCTTACGGTGAAGGTGCCGGGCTGGGCATTTGGGGACAACCCTGAGGTTAAATCTAGGAAGTTGTAACTTTTGTTTTGTTTTGAACATGGGCTAGAATTTATCAGGGAACTTGAATCTTTCACATGGCTCATTCAGTTTTCTGGGCTATTCTAAGAAGAATTCTTAACCTGAGGTACAAAGGCTGCAGGAGTTCTGAGAATACCTTGAAATTGTATAGAGGACACTGAATATAGTTTTCTGGAGAGAAAGTCCATAACTATCAGAAGGCTCTCACAGGGACCTGTAGCCCTCTAATGGTTAAAAGTCACAATTCTGAGGCCTCCTTAAATCCTAAAAGGGGCTTGGGGTTTGGTTGGCGTTTTAGGAAATTCTTCCTCTGGTGGCTTCTTTACACAGGTTGTTGCCAGAGAAGGTGGTTGGTTGTCCAAAACTAAGTTATGTTCCCTAGTGGAATAGCTTTGTTAATGGAGCAAGAACCAGACCCAAGAAAGCAGGAACATGAGCCAAGTGCGATGGGCAAGGATAAAAAGGCCTTTAATGGCAGAGATGGGGCTATTTTTGGTACATTCTGCTTCCTAATCATTGACAGGCTAATAATTAATTGTTAATTTAGAAATATGAAAAAGTATCATCTTGTTGGCAAAAACAACAGAAGACAGATTTAATTCGACTAAGATTCTAACATGTTAGTTAGAAGGTGTTCTAGGCTACGAGGGTAAATAAAACCTGATTCCTGCCTTCAGGGAATTCATAGTCTAGCAAAGAAGGAAGAGTAATCTTCAAATATCTTTTACAAAGTGATTTTCACATACATGGAGGTTCCATTTTGTAGGTCATACAGCATAAAGGAAGTTGGATAGCGTAAGACACTTATTAGTGGTTGTATGCCTACATCATTTGTAAATGAATTGTTTGGAGTGCAGAAATGGTGTTATAAGGGAACCAAAGTAAGAACTGTTATTTTTTGAGCACCTACTAGGTGCCAGCTGATAAACTAGATTCTTCAAATACATTATATTATTGAAATCCCAAGATCACCTTATAAGGTAAATATTAGATAAAGGCATTTTATAGATAAAGACACTGAGGCTGGGAGAAGCTAAGTCACATAACTGAAGTCAGACATCTTTTTAAGCACCGGAGCTGGTGTGATTCTAAGCTAGCTCCTAACTCCTCCAGAGTTCAAACTCTTGTTTTCTGCACTTGCTGTCTCCTGTGGATTTCATTCATCAAATACCTATTGTATATCAAACACGCTGATGCGTACTACATACATGGTCCCACTCAATGTTCATAATAACATGCAAGGGTAAGTGCATTGTAGAGATGAAAATATTGAGGCAAAGGAGGGTAGAGCTTTTATCATCTCTATCCATCTTTATGGATTGTCTCTGTGGGAAGATGCCTCCTGAGTTCCAAAAGGGGACCACGGGCACACCACCCACTCTTAAGTTGTGTGGTATGACTGTTCTCCCTATCTCAGTGTCCATAGCACAGAGCAGGACCAAATACATGATTAGTGCAGCCCACTGAAATGTCAAAATGCAGGGCCCCTTGTACAAAATTATTAAGAATTTCAAGTCCATGGGAGTAGAGCATTCATTAAGCCAAGTACAGAGCCCTTCTGAGTGTCAGGCTCCTTGCATCTATGCACATTTCTCTTCCATAAGCTGGCCCTGGCAAGCAGAGAGGAATTTATTTTTTTAAAAAAACCTCACACGTGCCAGGGCTCACAGAGTGGGGAGGTTTGCAATAAAGGTGAAGGAACGGAGGAAAGAGGGCTTCAGCTAGGGAGGAGGGAAGGGATCGTCAGTCCCTCAAACAGGCGGTAGTCAGTACTAGCAGATGAGCTGATGACACCACTGAAGTCTTGCAGATATCTAAGAACCAATCCTCCATGGAGTTTCTGGATTTTTTTATATATGGAATATGTACACAAAAGCTACCAAATTCCAGTGTCACTGTGGTTGAGTGTCCAGAAAGAGGAGTCTAACTATGGAATTTTTTCGTTCTTGCTCAGAAACTCAGAGCACTTGAGGAATGTGTCATTCCAAACCTGTTGAGTGCCATCCACTTGAATATGTCCCTCAGCAGTTCAGGCTGAAGCAAGATATTTCCTGTTAGGCACTTCAAAGGGACCGAAACAGTGCTTCATTCCTACCAAAAGCTGACCACCTTTCCCAAAAGCCCTTGGGTAATTAATAGACTCTGGAGTGTTAGCTTTCTTGGAACCAAGCCCATGGAGTAATTGATGAGGGGTTCCCCCAGAAGCCCTAATGTAGCCCGATACCATAAGAGGTTGGAAATACATCTTGCAAATAACTAAGCACTTAACAGATATTAATAGAATGAAGCAGCAGGGAAAAGTCTAAGTTGGCATCAAAAGTTGGCTCTGCGACTTACTAGCTGTGTGACCTTGGGCAAGTTACTTAATCTCTTTAATCCTTTGCTTCCTCCCCTGAAAATCTTGCAAGATTGCTCTAAGTATAAGGAGATCAT